GAATCCACTGTGAGACACCAATGTGTCCCTGAGCAAGACTCTTAACCCCTAGTTGCTCCAGAGGCCTGCGACCTCTGACATATATAGCAATTGCAAGTCGCTTTGGATAAATGTGTCAGCTAAATGAATAGATGTAAAATTGCTGGTGAGTGTATTAATTTATCTCTAGCTATTAGAGGCAAATTCAGTAATTAATTTCATCAATACATATTATAATTAAACAATTATTATAATAATATCACATTAAAAAGACGATTTTTTATTTTATTTAAATATTCATGAAAACCCATGCTGTCCATGGCAGCAGATACTCACCTCAGTGAGAATTGTGGTTTCATATGAAGGCTGGTATTTCTCCTTTTCCTGCGGTGCTCGTTTCTCCATTTTTTCTCGGTCTGTTTTCTGCTTTCTGTCAGCACCTTTAGGCTAAACACAAAAAATACCAAGTATTTGCATTGATTTTTTTTTTAGGAAGATCCTGTTTCGGTTGTAAGGTTACTCAAAAAAGATGCTGCACTGGTGTCAAATTGTAGCATTGTTTATCAGCGCAGGCCTTAGCCCACCTTAAAAACTTTGATTTGGCAGCTGGCGGAGTGCTGGTGCTCAGTGTACTCCCCAGCCTCGTTCTCCTTGAAAGTGTCGATTTGAACACGGAACGGCACTCCCTTCTCTCCTCCATGCTTACGCATGGTGAACTCTGTGCTGATACAATGGACCTAAACAAGCAGGAAAATAATGATGAGTAACAGTGACTAATATTGAAAAAACATATTTGAAAAGTGTCCACAGCATACAATTAAAGTTAATGGGATGCAGTGTTGCTTTGGACCATACAAACTTCCATTGTACGTTTATAAACTGCTGACAAGTTCCTCAAAATATCTACTTTTGTGTTCCACAGAAAGAAAGAAAGTCATGCAGGTTTGGAATGTCATGAGGGTGAGTAAATTATGACAGAATTTGTGAACCATCCCTTTAAGATGGTTAAAGTTCATCCTAATAAGGAAGTCTAAGCTATATTGGTTAAAGTACATAGATTGTGTATGGATGGCTAAATAAAATAAAAAAGACACAGATCAAACCTCATCTTTGGATTTTTAAGGCTCCACTGACAGTGTCTGGGAGAGTTGTTCTTGAGGTCAGCAAAAGCAGTCTATGATACCTGAATAAACACAGAGGTCCTTTTCGAGGGGTCCCAGAGGAACTCCACAGTGTTGAGCTGTGTAGGGTTTGCCCTGGGATCGACCACCCCTACCGACATTGGGATATCTGTGGATTTCAGTGCAAGCATGTTATTAATGTATAATAAAATCCTACATATCCACAACACTGATATTGGTACTTGAGTGACAATTACTCACAATCTGTTTATTATTATCTTACTTGGAAGTGGTTATAATCTTATCTTTCACTCTCTGTGAAGTCATCGGTTACAGTATTTACCTAAATCAAGGATTCTGTCTCCCGGTCTATTCCAGCGCCAGCCCTCTAGCTGCTGGTGTTCAGTGTACTGAAGCCGGCGGTCGTGAAACACGACGCGGATAATACTCTGCAGGGAGTAACCACACGAAAAACAACAGTTGAGATCAACCACAAGAAACATATGATTCATTAGGTCATCTTCTGATTTAATACAGAGATTAACCTGAACACTTAAAGGATTTTCAACAGCTAATGAGATCCAGCCTTGATGCGAGTATAATCCTGTATGTGGGAAGCATGAATTATGGGGGATAAGAAAGAACAGACAGCAAATCCTCACCTTTACCATTTTCCCATTTATCTCAGGAAGCTCTCCAATTTTCCGATTGTCCAGCATTCGAATCTCATAAGACTGCCCTGCAGCCGGTGGGAAAAAGTTTATAGCAATATCAGTAAAACCAGTTTACATCTCTTGTTACTCTGCTTTTTATGCTTCCCTCTATACAATAAAGAATTGAACAGTTTATGGTAACATAGTATCATAATTTAAGGTTGGAAGCTCTTACATATAACAACTAAATAATTTGACTTAAACAGAACAGTTTAATCAAAGAATAATCAATTCTGTAACAAAAGTATTATTCACTGTTATTTAATGCTATAACTAACATTAACTAATTGACCTTACTGTACAGTGTTACAAAAAAAAAATCTTACCGACCCCAAATTTTTTCAACAGTATGTATTTTCCAAGTCTCCAGAGAAACTAGCTCTTTAATCTTTTAATTTGTATGTTTTTATAAACTACTTTTAGAATTGTATAAGTTCTGTGTATTGACAACCTAAAGCTATTTCAAACATATCAGAATTGAAGGAAATGTCTGACATTCTTCAGCAAATGTTGCTGAACAGACCTTGATTGAGGTAGGTGAGTGTCTCATCATGTAGCTTGACAGCAGGAGAGGTGGCGGCACACAGTACGTACTGGAAGGGAAGGATCTTATTGTCGCTTTCTGGAGGTAAATTTGACTCCTCCTGCTTAAAGATAGGGAGAGCTAGCACATCACTAAAAAACAAGAAGAGAAAGGGGGGGAAAAATAACAAATTTATAGATTTGGACATTTCAGACAAGCCCAAGAAGCACATTTCTAATGCTATTCAAACATCTAAGAGATGACACAGATGGCAGAGCAGGACTGGAACATGTGGTTTATAGCAGACAGGTATTTCGTTACCTGGAGACCAGATCATGAGGCTAGATGGTGAATTTTTCTACCTCTCAACAGGGCAATCTATTTTACTTTAACCATATAAATCAAAGAACCATTTTACTTTAACCATAGAAACAAAATTATACTTTTATTTTACATGTGATTTGTCAGTTTGTCACAGTCTCCATGGTAAAAAAACAACAACTGAATCCCCAAATGTGGGATAAAACACCTCATCAAAGCATACACACGATAACCTCGCCACAAATAGACCTGTAGTTTTCTAAATGGTTCATTTTCTGCACTTAAGTCATGTAAGAGAACACAAGATATTTATAGACCTTTACAGAAGGTCAGACGCATTCATCATGACATTTTAAACAGCCCGGAGTGACGCGAACAGAGAAGTTGTTGGCAAGTAAAATAGATTAAACAACACTCCTAAATAAGATAAAACACATAGCAGAATATACAGTATATAAAGAGCTTCAATTCAACAAAAATTACATTTATCAAACCATACAGGTCTCAGGAGGACACACCAGAAACAATCTAAGCATCCCTAAACAAACTCACCTCATGCTGTATGCACCAGCTCCAAGTTCTTGCCCTATCCCTGACAGACTGGCATCAAAGTCCTGGACCAGACCAGACTCAATCACCTCATCGGCCAGAGGTAGTTTTAGAGCCCAAGCCATGACTTTAGACCTCCAATTCAAGTGAACTAAGGAACAAATGAATCACAGTCCTGACAGTCTCCCTTTGGGTTTAGGGATGATCACAGACGCCTGTCTAAAGAAACAGAGGGGGAAATGGATTACGTGGGTGATGTAAGTTATTATATGGATAAAAAAAAACATCATTCTGAAAGGAAAAATAAGTTGTTTTCAAGTTCAAGAATAATCTTTAAGTATTATTTATTATAACTAGATCAAATGTAACGCTTAAGACAGAACCTTGCAACACAAATCCCCAAAATGACTAACGTTAAATTCAGAAGTTACTAACAAATCCTACACATGACGAACACATATTATATTAAACAAGTCAGTTGGCGGGAAAAACGCATCGTATAAACATATCGTAAATAATAAAATGATTGCTGTATCATATATGGCATTGTAAGCGTGTAAATTACCTCTGACAGCAGTCAGATAAAGAATGTAGTAAAGCTCATCGTTTCACGCCATTTTCCCACCCATCGTCCTTCTTTTGGCAAGACAACTTCGATTTGCTCGAAAGAAGACAGATTAATTTCCTTCAACGGTCGCTCTAAAAAGTGACGACGCTGCAAACAATTCGAAGATAATTTATCAGGTTGAGTTGTGTTTGAATAAATGTCTTATGTATAATATAACATGTTTGTTTATCTCTTCTACTCTGTAGAAATTGCCGTAATATCCGCAGTACTCTCCCTCACTAAGGGCTGGAATATCGAACGGCTCAAGAGCATTAGCGGCCTCAATCGCCCTGGAGGCGCATTGCAACATAGTATACATGGCCCTGAAGGAATGAAGGAATCATGAAGGAATATAGTGCAAACACGAAACAAACCATTTAATAAAGTGATATTTAAAAAGTAAGTACAATAGATAAGATAAGACACTTTGTAGTGATAAAACATTAGGCTAGGAACTAGGAAGGAACCCTGAGGACTTTTTTGGTGGACCCTTTTCACCAGAAAAAGTCCACCAAAAGAAAATATCAATAGTTGACTTTATTCATAGCAGCACCATCTTCGATTTGAAATACATTGTGTATTGTACTCTTAAGTGTTTTTATATGGTTACTGACGTGACCAAACACTACAAAATATCTTTAAAAAAATAAAAATAAATAAGTACAGAAAAAACTCCAGACAACATGAGCTGTGGGAAATAATAAGCTTTATAATATAATAATAAGCTGATATGAGCTTTATATACAGATGCCATTGAAAACACAGCCTCGCTTTCACACCTGTCATGGCTCTGCAATGAATAAGGTCTATTAAAAGTATAAACAAAAAAGTACCTAAATGTTTTGGCTCAAAATACAGAAGTTGTTACATCCATCCATCAATCTATAAGAAACAAACCATTCGGAAAGCTTTATACACTTAATATGACTTTAGGAAAGGATAATAAGCATTGATGATATTTTGGTAGAAAATATGGTTACCATCGCAATGGCAATTTTTTTTCATAGTAACAAATAACCATTACCATCCTTTCTATCAATGTTATTTGTAAAATAATTATAATAAATAATGTGTATATGTTCTGAGAAATCATTTCTGAACTTTGCAGTCTGAGTACGAAGAAAACAGTAATGATTGGCAAGATGTCAAAAGGCATTTACCAAGATATGAAACTCAAACAAAACAAATCGGTTTAGCGTTAATTTATTCAAATAACAAGTTAATACCAAACATTACAATTGATACAAAATAAATATAGTTAATGGAGTACCATACCATTGTTTATAATCTGTAAATGCATTTAGGCATAATTTAAAAACGATAAGTTCTGCACAGATTAAAATGCTGAACAGATACTGCCTTTTTACATGTTTAGTCTATGTTTATAGCATTTGTTAAAACATTGTCTAATACCATTCCTTCTTCACAACATTAAAATGTAAATGTATGGTATTGTACTAATCAAGATAAGAATCCATTAGATAAATATTGAAGGTCCATAAGAACAATATAGCTTTATGCTTAGAACAAACATGTGAAACATGTAACAACACACTTCTGTCTGGGCTGTTTTACTAATGGGCTGTAGTACAAATGAGAGCACAATTCAAATTCAGTAATGATGAATTGCATTTGTGATAGTAATATCTTGTAACTTTTTTTTGATAGCTCGATCAACAACAATAAAAAAATAAATAAAAATAAAAACTTCCAGTTGTTTAAGTGCCACATATAGGTGTAGATGAAAGTTTGTCTTCTTCAATATCATTTCCTAATATTAAGATTTGCCTTCTGGTTATGACAAAAGCAGTAAAATCCATAGGACATGTTCTAATAAATCAGTCATTGTAATCTTTTAATACAGTTGGTTTTCTATTTAAAACAGTTGAAATCATACAATTCTCTGGCATATGAAATTACAATGATCGCTGAAATGGAAAAAATTGAATGTAGACGCATAAATGCAGGGCATGCTTTCTGATTCAGAGAACTATGATTGTCCACTTGACTGAACCACATCTACAGTATTTAAGCACAAAGACAGGGTAATCACTGTATTAATGAAAACTGAAATAAAGACCTGAATACGCCCTCTTAGATGGACTTTTTGGAAGGTTTAAGATAACCAAAAAACAATTATCTGTCTCAGGCATTGTACAAATCACACAGCTTACAGCAAAACTACATGAACACATGAATAATAATAAAATATCAGTCAAATTATTAAATAGCCTCTTAAATGTACTATATGAAAGCCATAGCTGGGATTGCTACAGCCAAAAACAATTTTAAGGGTCAAAATATTGTTAGTTTCTGAAAAAGAAAAAGAAAAAACTAAATGAAAGCATATTTCGCAAGCTTTCTATTTCGTATTAATGAAGTGCTTATTTTTAAAAACAGCAACGACTGGATCTTGTAGCTTCGTCCATATTTTAAATAGTTCAAAAGCCATTTAGCACTGAAAAGTGTGATGGCATGGCAAAAGGTCACTCTGCATGCAGTATAACGGAAAACAAAAAAACAACAGAAAGAGTATGTTTGATACTATTCTAAGACCGCACACAATTCGAGTGCCGCTGGCTTCATCGCAACAGCAAATCAGTTATTTCAGTCATTTTGCAACTAGCACCAATGCATCATCAACATCCAAAAAGTTCTTCTGTTGCTCTTTAAGAGATACGTCATTGTCCTACTGGGCCTGAAACACGTTGATCTTGCTTGTATTTTTAAGAGTCTGTCGACGGTTGCAAAACCAGACCCGAACCACCTCTCGGTCGTAATTCAGCTCCTTTGCGATCTCTGTAATCTCTTGGCCAGTCGGAAGGGAGTTTTTCTCAAAGTAAGTGTTGAGGACCTCAATGGCCTGCGGCGTGAAGCTCGTTCTCCGTTTGCGCTTCTTGGAGGGTTCTCCGCCCACAAACTCCATTAAGTTCTGCTGACCTTTCTGATTCCAGAGCTCGGCCTCGGCCAGCCAGCGCTCCAGCACAGGCTTCAGCTTCTGGGCACTTTTAGGAGTGATGTCAAGCTTCTCAAATCTGTAAACAAGAGGCAATGTGTCAACACACAAGATACTGGAGTGAAAAGTGAATCTTTCCGGCACTTATTTTTGATTACAGACTTTATATAGCATGTAAAAAGTAGGGCTGTCAAACGATTAATCGCGATTAATCGCATCCAAAATAAAAGTTTGTGTTTACATAATATACGTGGGTGCACTGTGTATAATTATTTTGTGTATATATAAATACACACACACATGCATGTATATTTACGAAAAATAATATTATTTATATATAAAATATTCAAATTTATATATAATATAAATCTATTTACAGTATATACATGAAAATATTTCTTAAATATATACAAGCATGTGTGTGTATTTATATATATAAAATAATTATACACAATGCACCCACATATATTATGTAAACACAAACTTTTATTTTGGATGCGATTAATCGCGATTAATCATTTGACAGCCCTAGTAAAAAGTCATTTATATAAATGAAACTTTACAAAATAATTGTATATAACGAAATGAGATAAACAATTACATAGCTTAAAGTTGACTGCAAAACATTATATAATTATATACAGTGTAAATATAAAGAAGAACCCAGTATGTCACCGTTTTCCCCCTCTTTTGTTATGGCAGTATTTGTGATGCGATCTGGGAAAACCCGTCGGATGTCGCGGTGGTAAGTTTTCAGTAAAGTCTACATATAGATTGAATGTTAGTTTTTTGTCAAAATTGGGTTTTTATTAAATTATTATTCTATAACATTTTGTTTATCATCTCTGAATATATCTTGGGAAAATTCACTAGTTTAGTGCTGAAAAATAGCGATTTATAATGTCCAGCTGAAAAGACTGCATTTCTCTTTAAGAACACACAGGCGAAGCAGAGGGGCAAAAAACAATATCTCCCGTTTAGCTCTCCTTCTCTTAACACTCCAAAGACAGTTTCGCCTATCAAAATAAACTACATAACAGAATAAAGTCCAGTCCTGGGTGAACTACAACATCCCACAAGTTTTTATTTATTTATTTTTATCCAGCATTATCGTGTTGTGTGTTGCAGAGCACAAGAGAACAACAGAGTTTGAAGCTACTCGCTTAAAAGATCTTGCTCGCCTCTCAATCGTCCAATTTCAAAACGGAAAATTTTCAATTTTTAAATTTAATTTTTTTTATTTTTTCACAGGTTGAATTTTGAGTTTTTAATGATTTCGAATGATACCTAATCTATGATGATTACTAAAATATGTGACATTAAAAAAAAAGACAATTAATAAAAAGGAGCGCCAGTCGTTCCGCTAGCAGGATGTGACCGTTAATAAAACGTTTTTTCTCGAAATTCCATTTCTGAAAATCATAGCGATCAGCCGACTTCAGATAACCATAACTTTTGTTACAGACAAACGATAAAATAAATAAAAACAGATTAGGAAAGGGCTTGAACTCAGCTTTAATATGGTCTCAAAACATGTAATCTGTCCAATTTCACCATGTGGTGGGTTTTCCCAGATCGCATCACATTTATCCAACAAACAGATCAGGAGTGGTTCAATCATTTCTGTGCCGACCTCTAAGACACGTAAAGAAACAAAGAGAAGATATAAAAGAGAATAACCTGCAGATGGCTGACTGACTGTAGGCAGGACCCTCTGTAGCAGTGAGAGCCTGGCCAACTTGAGTCTGTGTCAAGCCCAGAGAGAGCCGTCGAATCTTAAAATTCTTGGCAAACTCCCGAATCTCCTCCAGATTAATGGCCTCTTCTTCATTCACAGCAGACTGTGGCTCTAACGAAAACAAAAATTGAATTAGGGCTTTTGAATGCTGTCCAGATCATAAACAACATGAGTAATTTACCCATGAGTCACTGGAACATCATTTTTCAAAACTGAAATCTGATCTAAACAACCTTAAAAAATTGCTCCTATTCAAGTATGTGACTGAAGAAGGTTGTCAATGCAATATTGCAAACATAAACGATAAAAATATACTACCAGTAAAATATAAACCTACTGCTGACAAGCTGCCCCACGGTAGGCACGTCTCCACAGGCGACGGCACCAGTAGAGGTGAGGGATGTGACTGATTTTACCACTTGTGGCTGGGGAGCAATGATGACTTTAGATGGGGCCACTTTTCCAATAGGACCCTAGAGAATAAATTACAGCCAATCAACAAATATGACAATCATTTTACAAACATTTCATATGATCAACAGCAAATGTGCAAAACTGCAAAATGTGCAAGGAAATTTCTAAGGTATTCTGAGTTCATTGCTATTAATTTGTAGGGTGCTCTGGGTGGAAGGCATTGCTAAATGGATGCTAGGGCATTAAGCTCATTGGAAAAGCGTGCCTGTGGTGAAAGTTCTGGAAAAAGATATTATGTTGCTTCTTGCTTGTTATGAGACACTAAAAGCGTGTACAGTTCTCTCTATTGCATATGAAAACAAACTAAACCTAATCGATATTGCTAATAAAATCAAACTTGAGTTAAAAACGCATTTGCTGATGCAACCATGCTATTTTAATATGCTTCCACAAGTCTAAAAGTGCCTCAAGGGACTCATGTCTGAGAGTTTACAAATCATGCGATAAAGTAAAAAGTATTTTGAGCTCATAGTATTGTCTTTATTAATATATAATTTGCTCTTGTATTCTTAATTTTTGTGAACCAGATTTTTTTTTGGTGCTTTAAGTTTGACGTTTTCCAATGAGCCTTGGCATGCAAGGGAATCACTATTCTGAGTGGTTTCCTACTCATCCAATTAAATAAATAAAAATACTAATGCTTACTAATGCTAGTACAAAAATGGCATACATACTACACAAAATGTTTATTATCATTCATAGACCAATAAAATGTCATAGTGGCTGGCACTATAGTACCTGCGTGGTGGTTTTGGTAAGTGTCAAGGGCACAGTGGATTTGGGGAGGACGGAGGCTGCGGACTGGGCAACCGCTGTTGGACTGTTCCCTATCGTAGCAATGATCTGGCCCTGGGAGTTCAAAATCAGCTGCGGGGACATGGTCTGGACCTGCAGGCCTTGAGCGGGTAACGCAGAGGCTGCCGCAGCTCCAGCCAGTGATGCAGGGTTGACCAGCAGAGGAAGTGTTCCAATCACCTAAAACACAGGTATGAAACTAATGAGACTAGTAGGTAAAAATGTTCATTGTGTAAGAGTATACTGTGAATTATACTGAGCATTTAAATGTAGGACTAACCTGGCCCTGTGCGTTGGTAATGAGTTGACTTGTGAGTCCTGCCACATTTGACATGGCGCTGGTGAAGATGGGAGTTGTAGTAAGAGAGCTGATGAACTGAGGCTGAGCTCCCAGAGAGGCTGCGCTAATCTAGGGGAAAAAAAACAACAAAAAAACCTGCCGATTATAAAAAAATGTATCACAAATATTTTTTAGGAATTGAAGGCTAAAAAAAAAATTCTAAATGCAGAATCGAATCGCAAAGAATTTTAGAATCGTCTTGAATCGAATCGTTCTAAATTTGCAAAAATCGTTCTTGACTCGAATAGAATACCCAAAGTATTTCCCTACTCACAATAGCAGGGTTGATGGACAGGCCTGCAGTCTGAAGTGTTGCGACAGAGACACTAGGCTCTGACACCTTCTGCACGACAGATGCGGTGGCGGTGGTGGCTGGCGTGGTCTGCGCTGGCTGCAGGGCCGCTTGCATGGACTGCAGTGCAGACACCTGGGGGTGCAGGACCGCCTGCGCAGGTGCCTGCAGCTGCGTCTGGACAGAGTTCAACATAGTAGCAGCTGGAAAAAGAAAACAGGCTGTTGTAACAATCAAAACTCTTCAAAAAGAAGAGTTTGTTTGCTCAGTAAAACACCTTGTACCATTAAAATTGTCATTATTCTGGTCTGGACAAAAACACCATTTCATATAAACACAATATCGTGCGTTGTAAACAATCTCATCCCAAAAGAATGTAAATATGGACTTTTTCTATGATGCTTTGCACATGATGAGTATACAAAATATACCTTGCAGTCCAGCAAACGGCAGCTTGAGCAGTCCTCCGGCAGGGCTGACAGCCGTGAGACCAGGGATGGTGGCGACAGTGGCGGTGGGTAAGGTGAGCACTGCCAGACCACCCTGACCACCCACAGACCCAGCCATACTTAAAGGAATGAGCAAAGGCTGACCCAGAGAACCTTGCTGGGCAAACATGCCCGTCATCAGAGAGGCCAAGCCATCCTGAGTCAGGACCTGGCAGGGTAATGGCAAACAGATTGAATTATTCTCAGGATTTTCACATTTTTTGACAATCAATTTTTTGAAAAATCAGTTGTGTTTATTGAAATAAATGATCTTAAATGAGGAAAAACTTATCTAAAAACAACTTAAAAGAAAATTGGAATTGTTGCCTTGCCTCAGATAACTTGGAAATCATTAAAATAGTTAAAAATGTCATGATCTGAACATCCACGAGTCAGAAATGATCAAGGGCTTGGAGCAAAACTGACATAGAAAGTGGCCCCCGGTATTTTAAACGGCAAAAATATCCTTCACCTGTGGGCAGGCCTGGACAGTGATGGGTATGCTGGTCTGCGGCTGGGCCTGAGACAAACTGATGGGGGCTGTGGAGACCACGGTCTGGACTGCAGGTGCTGAGACCTCCACAGACACTACATGCAAACATATCAGTCAGATTTGAATCAGACATTTTAGAATGATTTTCCATGCATAGGAAACATAATGAATGGTGGTGACTTTTTCAAACCATGCAATTATAACTCTTAGGGCCAGATTTACTAACAGCTTGCGTCAGCGAAAAACCGTTTTTGGCCATTGAAAACCCATTGAAAAATTTGCATTGATAAGGGGTGGACAGGGGCATTTTTGCAGCTGACCTTCCTGTATCTGCATTTGTAGGAGTTTGCCTTTCGGAAGCAATATTTATGGGAGGAGTGTATTTAAAGGAGCACTTGGCAACTATTTCAACTTGATAAAACCGTTTAGAAATCATTTTAATGGTTCAATAACCTGTTCTGGAGAGAATGGTGACTTTCCCCGCTCCCCCCAGTGTCCCGAGGCAAAAAAACAACAAACTTCGCTTTATGCTTTAATGGCAATTCGACATAATTCTATGATACTGCGTATGATGCATTACCCACTAGGTAGACACATCTCCACATGATGGAGTTGGCCGGCTCCGATAATAACAGAAGCACATGAGCAGCGGTAGAAAGCTTAAGAAAGGTGTTGTGAAATATACGCCGCACAACTGTAGGGGGCGCTGATGAGAATACATGCGACAACAAAAGTGTAAATCAGCGAAGAAATAACTAGACCTGCCAAGTGTCCCTTTAAATGAATCATGCAAGGTGATTTACTAAGGTTTGCACAAGTCAATTTACTGGTATTTGACCATTATTTAGCACCCAAAAAGCAAGTCTTAAACCAGACGCTAAGACTCTACACCTGATACGTTTTGGTCGATCAGATCACAAGGTGGTGCTTTAGGCCCTGTTTACACGAGAACGCTCGCGGGTGAAAACGTAGAAAATATTTTATCGGATGTGCCTTTCGTTTACACGGCGACAGCGTTTTTGGGGCTTAAAAACGCAAAAAAGTGAAACCACCCTCCAGAGTGGAAATCTTCAAAATGCTCCACCGTTGCGTTCCTGTGTAAACGGTAAAAACGCAAAAGTCTGATTGACAGTGAAGGTTGTACGCAGGCACGCTGACTTGGTGTTGTTGTGTGGCAGTGCTTCACGTCGCCACCTAGCCGCCTGGAGTGCATAATACGTTGAATTTCACACTCTTTTGCGTCACCATATGCACGCGGATTTCCCACCCAATACGCTCGTCTAAACGCAGAATAAAAAGTGATAACGCAAAGCCACTTTTGCGTTTTCTCTACAGAATCGTTTCCGTGTAAACATAGCCTTAATCCGTCTCTTTCAATCACTTTTGTCCTGATTTCTTCAAGGGGAGGGTCTATGGGTAAATGTATGGACTTTTTTTTAGATCTAATGGATGAAATAAGCTCACACAATTTACTTATGAACACAACCGGAGAAAACATAAAAGCATGCTCTGACAGCAGAGCATGACCACATTGAACTTGGTGAGTGTGTGTGTTAGATCAGGAATGGTGAAAGAACATTGTGCTTGGTACGTTTTTCATCTTCAAACTAAACGTCTGGCTAGCGCGCTTCCCATTATGTTAACCAATTAAGTCGGCAGGTGGAGAGTAGGCGGCCTTTTGTGGCTGTTTAAATGCATTCGACCACATGAACGTTTATACTACGAACGCAATCCATTACAATGCGTTTTCGTCTACCTCCGGAAGTGGTCAAAAGTGTCAAGCTCAAAACATCTTAGACCCATTTTACACTATTATTTAGCATCATCACATCCACTTGTGATCAGATCCACCAGAAAGCATCTTAATAGGCGTAAACAGGGCCAAATTAGTGCCGCTCTTATAGATTGCGTTGGTCTTTCTGGAAATTATCCGGCAGTAGATCATGCGCAGAACTTTCCACTCCCATCTGTTCCTTTTTGGAATTGCTCTCTCACACTAATTTGCCCTGTTAAGTAAATCTGGCCCTATAGGCTTCTTTGATGGTGGTGGCTTTGGATTACCTTGTTGCTGTGATACCAAACTAATGTGACTATTTATATCAGTCAATTTTATCAGCCTCACCAGCTGTAGTCGTGCTTGTGGTTACTGGACTGTCCAACGGACCCTCCTCGGCTGCATCCAGGGTCTGACTAGCGCCCTCCTCGCCTCCTGACTCCAACTTCCCATCAGCCCCTGAGGAAGACAAGGCTGTATCCACTTCCACCTCCAACACACGGATGGTCTCCTGACCTGACATGACAATGACCTGGAGGAAGGGGTTTAACAGGTTATAAATGCTCTCCTTTAAGGGGTAATGGGGGCAGTGGTGACGATGAAAATGCGCCATGGTCTGTTATAGATGAGTTTACACCTGTGTGTGTGTATTCTGAGCTCACAGACATTTTTTTTTTAAATACTGACAAGGTTTGCTGAGCAAAAGAGCATAGAGCTGGGCGATATAATGAATATTGAAGGTTCAAAATAGCCCCACATTAACACGGTAACATAATGATGGTCCCTGCATGCAAAACAAAGCATTGAAAACTTTGTAAGTGTACAGACCGTTTAATAAGATACTTTATGAAGACAGATCACTTCGTGTATACAGACAGGAGCCATCTTTGGAAAACAATCTCGACAAGTCAATCCACGAACGTCGTGCTGAGTGAGCTGAACTGTATGAAATTCAGCGAACTTCTGAACTGTATGAACGGCATTCGGGCATCAACTTATCGAGACTATTTTCTAAGATGTCTCCTGCCTGTATGCACGAAGTGGACTGTCTTTATAAAATATCTTCTTATTAAACGGTCTGTACACACACTTACAAAGTTCTCAAATGCTTTGTTTTGCATGTATGGAGCCTCATTATGTTACAGCGTTAGTGTGGGGCTATTTTGAGCCTTGTTAGTGGTATAAACTAGCGATTTCTTTTTACTTAGTAAATGCCCCCAGCACTAGCATTATATGCTAAACAGTTTTTAGAGATAAAACTCTTTACATTCGATTATCATGAAAACAAATCTCAGAGAACGGTTGACTAGGTATTGATGTTTTATTAGACCACAGGTTCATTTTGCGCCGGAGTTCTCCTTTAAGTGAATTTCGTTTTGTATAAATTGTCTCTTCATTTTAATCATTGTTTTCATTAAAGCTACACTGTGTGAATTTTACCCCCATCTAGCGGTGAAAAGGTATATGACCATCCAGTCAATATTAGTTTCTGTTCCTCTCAATTCTGATTTCGTTTTAACTCCTACGGTGGCCAATGTAGTCCAAGATTAACATGGCTTCCAGTTCGACCTCGTCCATGAGTGTTAACTCAAACGTAAACGCGAAAGGCGAAGCTTCAATTTACGGGTATGTCCCTCTTTGGCTAATGTACTTTCAAGATGGAGGGGCAACATGGCGACCGACATTAGAACCCCTTACCCGTATGTGTTTTCAATGGCATATTATACACTCACGAGAATACTTGATTACTTGAACGAAGTAAATATACATTAATGAGCACATATATTTATGAAAGAACTAAGTGTTTTCAGCTAAGAATAAACTAAAAGAGTTACACAGTGTAGCTTTAACAAATTGACTGGATTAATAAACAAGAAGCAACTATCATTTTTCCTCAAAATGCAGTGTTATATTAGTGCATACATGATTAAATGTCATTATTGGGTTCATTTATTGAATAAAGGCATATAAAACGTAATTTGTGTACAATATCGCCCATCCCTAATTCATATGCATTTAAAAGCTATACAAGAAGCTCAATAGCTTGAAGAAAAAAGCTAATTAGGAAAGAAAGCAGCAGAGGATGTTTTAATATGTTAACAGGTGCCCATGAAACACGTGAACTCTAATGTCAACGCGAGCCTTTAATTAAAATCCAAGTGAATTCTGCCGTCTTTGACTACTGTTTAAAAGTTTGGAGGCAGTACATTGTTTATTTGAAGGAAATTTAAAAAAAAAACTGAACTGACGGTTACCTCACGTCAACCAAAAAATCTGCGCTAACACACCACTAAGACTAGGCGACTGTCAACTAGCACATGTGTGAAATAACTGTCTATATATGCAGGTATCAATAGTCTATATTCATCATTCAAAAAGGGAAACCGAAACAAGGACTGCAGATATACAAACTGAAAACAAAGCAGAGCTTTCTTAACATTTTGAATATTAATCATGCTAATAATTTTCTTCATTCCAGGTGGCTGATTGTAACACAATAACACAGCACATAGTAATGCTGAGGTAAGACAACGTTAAATTATAACAGAATTCAATCAGTCAATCAATCAGTGCTCTCTCTCACACTGATGGTGCGGCGACGATGTCCAAATAGAGACAAAACTGGGACGGCCGACTGACGGCTTGAGCCTTAAGAGACTTCTCTGGAAAAATTCCCGACTCCAAACTTTTAAACAGTAGTGTATTATAACATAAAAGAGCATGAAGACATTTTCAAGCTTTTGCTCAGCTTAATTATTTTGGCAAGTTTGATCAAGCATTTTATTAAGAACATTTGACGATCATGTTTCAGTCGACTTAAGATCAGAGAAACATCACAGGAGCAAACGCATGGAGGGAAGCTCAGCTCAGCTCAGCTCAGGACAGTGCCACGCAGAGAGCAGTGCAGAGGCAGGAGAGGGTGCGTACCTGGTCGTCTTGTGCTGGGAATTTCAAAGTGCAGGAACCTAAAAGCTGAGAAAACACTTCTGCGGTCAGACAGTGAATGACTAAAGAGAACAGAGATGCCAAGCACACATTAGGACAAACAACCAACAAAGACAACAGTGAGATGAGTACAGCAAACGGGCAAGAGCATCTACCCAAAAACTAGCATTGCAATGCTTTCTGCAAATGCCTCACAACCAGAAGAGAATTGCTTGTGCTGTGAACATAGACTGAACACTCACACGCATGGGGCTTAAGGCATGGACATGTGATGAAATGTTAAGGTACATCTGTGTTTTGGTAACACTCATGTAAGAAACGAATACCTGTTCATTGACTGTGAGAGGCGCATTGTTTTCAGGGAGATCCTCAGTTTCCATGATGACGTCCAAGTTCTGAGGAGATCAATGATTCTGCATAGTGGTTGAAGGGGATGTTACCAGCTCCGCGGTCGCAGCTGGAGACAAAAATACTAGTCACTAAGGATGCTTGACAGCACTAGATGCAGACTGTCAAAATGACATAGCAATTGACCCCATTTACCTTCTTAATACACATTCCTGGTCTTATTGCGAATGATTCATCATGTTATTCCAAAATGTAATAACTTGCTCGGTCACCAAAACAAATTTCCTTTTCATCAAACCTCCCCTACAACCACTTTTTATGATTCAAGGAATTTCTGGATAAAATCAAGTCCTGTCCCACATTTTTTTGGCCACTGAACACACAAATTCAATCAGAAATACTTCACATTATGGAAGAAATGATGTGTTATAAAAGAACAAAAATGTGACTTTGTACAACTAAATCTGACAAATATCACATTTCAATCAGAAATACTTTACATTATAAATAAAGAACATTTGGATTTTAAATATTAAGTTATAGAGGTACAAAAAATGTGACTTAGTACAACTAAATCTGAAATATCACATTTCAATCACAATATGGAAGAAAAATGTTAAGATATAATACTAATCTAATACAATGTATGAATATAATACTTTTTAAATATATTACAATGGGGCTGTTTATTTTTAGTTGTCTCAAAACTACTAGGTTTGCAATATATGAATCCATAGGTTATATATATTTTAAGTTTAAAATATTATGGTGACCATTAGCACACCCTACAAAAAATCACTTTGGTAAAGTTTCAGCTATAATACCATAGCTTCTATAGCTATTATTAATAAGTTGATTAGACATCAAAATGACACTTCATTGTTTCAATTACATGACATATTATGAATGTTAAAGTAATTACAATAAGTATAGCAACTATTTTGGCGGGAACTACGATTACCATGGTAAAACTTTGCACGGCATTGACCAGATAATCATGACGTAGTTATGTGAGTAACGTCACGTCTATGACGCGCGCTCTCAAGGTTGTCAACTTAAAAATTTTTGAAACCAAGGTACCTCATAGTAAAATGTAACAGTAAAAATAAATAAATAACATTATTTCAATGAACAAAACACGACTGAGCATGTTCCAATGCCATCACTGTGCAAGTGCATTGTAAGATTTCTTGCATTATAATTTTACGCATGTAATTATCCTAAAAACAATAGAGCATTATGTAAGTATTGCGCATTTACACATCAAGCAGGCCTGTGTGAGGTACTAGTGCAGCCTTCCCAACACATTCACAACGCAATAATAAAACTCTCCCTATGGGACACACACTTCATCTACTGATCACCCTCCTCACATGCCAATATGCCATGACTCAGGACGGCATTTGAAGTATTTCCTTTCTCTTTATCATAAATATATAAATTATGCTAATTAAGACCATTGCATATTAACCAAAAACTCATTTCGAAACCGCGACTTGGTATAGCGTTGTGCGAAAATACGTGCAAGCTGTGATCAAATTCACGACTTACCCGCTGAAAGGTGGGATATTTCCTTTATTTCTCCTCCTTCGGCAAGCTTTGCCACAGTTTCTTTTAAATATGCATAATTAAAAATTCATCTCACAGCTCCCGACGCGCGCTACGAATGCACACAAAAGAGCTATTTGCATTGATAAGGAGGCTCGGGAAAACGCTGCTCCTCTTTTTAACTAAATATTTAATGACGTCTTTGCGTTAACTGTGGTGCCGGTGAAGCAAGTGCACCTTAATAGCCAAGGTAACCCCTTATCTGCAGAAAAGTGGCTAAAAATTAACACAAATTTGCTCTTTTGCACTACGTCATGAACATAATTTATGCAGGCCGAGTCTTGCATTGAAAAAATGGCGCTGGCTCGACAGAACTGGAGTGATGGCCGTCTTAAAGGGACAGTACAGCGTGTTACTGCAGTTCAATGCACGATTCAAAAATTATAATAGTGCTATATTGTGAGCTTATGCTCTAATGTTAAAAAAATCTTACTATTATTTAATAAAAGTATTGCTAATAATAACGGGATCAATTTAATATTATTTATTACTATTGTTTATAATTATAATAATGAAAATAATCACTTTATCACGCTTATATTAATATTCATGTCATTCTACATCTGTGCAGTTTTTAGCTTTTTTTAATGCTTTAGAGGACGTGATTTAACGCTAAATAAATAAACAAAACAAAACAGACAATCAAGTTGTTATTTACAATTATTCAAACTTGCTCTATGGTGCTTTTATTCAAAGTGACTTTCAAATGAGGAACAGAAACACAACTGAATAAAGAAATAGAATGCTAAAGAAAAAGAGTTTGGCTTCAACCCAAGAACATTTCGGGGAATTGCAAGCAAGTGCATCTATTGAATTGTATACATGAATCTGTGAGAACTCTTTATGCAAACCACTGGATACATTCAAGTTGAAATGTTGCACTTTAATGGGCTTCTTTTTTTAATCCCAAAAAAAATCAAAATCATACTGATTGTTACTGATTTAGGCACATTCCTTTTTATTTTATTTTTTGTATGAACAACCTTAAAGAGACACCGTGTCTCTGCATACACTCCGTGTCTTTCCTCCGTTGCCAAGCCAGCTGGCAAACACTTCCATTTGCATGCATTAGCAGCATATTGCCATGGAGCTCAAAGGGAAACTGGGATTGCTGAATACAGACGAATCTGTAATTAGGTTCACATCCAATACAGGCCTCAACTATTAGAGAGAGCAGATATAAAACAAAAATGTATACATTGCAGTTAAAAGGCAATCGAAAGTGATAATCAAATGGTCCTTAACAAAGCCCTGCCCTGTCTTATTTCAACACAGATGCAGGTCCGACAAGGAGTGTAAATGTATATTTAGATTTTACAAGGGGTGAGCAGCCAAATATAAATTTTTATAAGACAGGTGCAGAATTTGGATTACCAATATTCAAACTCTAATTTGTAATTTATTGGGTTGAATATTGCAATTAAATTAAAAGATCTTAATGAAACCTCTGCTCTGCTTGGCCATAGGACAGGACATATGTTTTAATTGGTTAAATTGTTGAAGAGAGTTTTAGAAATTGGTTTAGAGTTTAGAATTTTTTTTTTTTTTTTTAGGCAGGGAGAAAGGGATCTCAATCTGAGGGGACAATAAGCTGTCTGACATATCAGATTTTATTGTTAAGTAGCTAAGAAAATGTTCACAATCTATAACTGGCTCATCAAAGTGAAAGTCAACAGAGGGATTTATAACAGAATGTCTATTGTCTATGACAATGATGTGAAAAGTATTTAGTTTTGGCCGCTTTCACGGTAATCCAAAGAGCCCCTTTCCACAGAAGCTTTTGTGCAGTGAAAAGGTTCCATGGATGTCAAAGCAACTTCATGGAACCATAAATGCCAATAAAGTAGGGTGACCAAGAAAAGTGTTAATGGAAAACCAAAACTGATGAATAAATTACACATAAAACTTGCCCTTGCTTTACATTTATGAATAATACCTTTAACCTGAAATCACAGTTCAACCTTTCAGTTAAAATCTATCTTCATAATATCATTGACTCTTGACTGAATATGCTAGTGTCGTTTTATTATGCTTACTTGTTTACCCAACAGCTATTACAATATATTTTTGTTATTTAAGAGCCATTTGAACTATGCCTTTGAATTTGAAAACAACTTAAAACCACTGCAAGAGAAAACAGATAACTGGATTTTTCGCTCGAATACCAATCATTACTTAGATACCCTTTTGACAACTTCCCTTTGAGATAACTGCTGCCCTACTCATACAGCTATTTACATATAAACAAGCAACGTAACATAATATAATTCATAATGTATATATAACTTAGTATTACATTTACTTTTATAGTACAAAGTTGGGCATACAGACACTTTCATTTCCGACATAATGTGGGTCATGTATTTCTCTTTAACAGGGAGTGGCGTCCAAAAACTGACGCTGGCATGACGTAGCCCCTCCCAACACAAATATACTCAAAGGAAAGCCCGACGAAAACAAGGAAGTAACGAGCAAGAAAGACGAGGAACTTTGAGTAACCCTAATATTTATTGTCAAATAAACGCAGAATTCGGTCTGTTGAAATTCTCATCCCCTAGTATATTTTATCTACAGTGAAGAACAATGAACAACAAAGGTAAATACGCGATCAACTCCGCTCTTTTGCTATTTTGCTTAGCTGCTTCCTAGCAACTACCAATAGAGTTAGCCGTCATAACCGACTTACATAACAAACGACTTTACATACTGAACTCTTATGGATTGTGCGCCAAAAACATTTATGATTGACTACCTCGTGACGGAAACTGTAATGTTTTACGTGAGAATGTCAGATTTCAGCGGACTGGCTAATGTTTTGGAATGAAAACGGCTAAAGGGTAACGTTAACTAGCTTCGCTGCTACAGCGCGATGACGTGATTAGAAAGGTGACCTCATTAAGAGAACGAGACGTCCACAACCTCCGTTTAATCATTAAGTAATAAAACCTACACGTTCTTCATCAATATACCGTGGTATTAAGAACAGTTTGTCATATTTTTTGTATTGTAATTTAGCTGTCAGTTAAGACGGGCCTATTCGCCTCTTATTTTTCTATTCTCGTTTTCATTTTTAGATGCTTATTGTCTTATATAGGCAAATTGTAATTTAGCAGTCAGTTAAGACTGGCCTAACTGCCTCTTATTTTTCTATTGTCGGTTTCATTTTAAGTGTGTATATTGTATTATAGTTTAATGTGCTATTTTGTATACAACTTTATTCTCTTTTTTTTTTTGAAGATTATGTGTTCTTTTTAAATCAGTTTATTAATTCACATTTCATGATCAGGTTTAAAATCGGCATGAAATAGAAGTTGCAATAGTTTTTTCTTCCCTTTTGTGACACATATCCAAGTGAAACAGCTTCTCGAACAAGAAAAAATGGAGGGCAGGACTTGATTTTGTCCATCGGGAATTGATTGGATCGTTGGAACGTTGTGCTTTTCTATTGGTCGATCTCATGTGAGTGACAGGTTGCCCTGCCCTCACGCCAGTAAACACATCATCATCAGAGAAGAGATGTTATTTTGATTAAAGATTATGAGGGCACATGAATAAAAAAATATTGATGTGCATTGATAAATCAGATATAATAAATATTGCAGTATTCCATGAAAAAGCAAGAGTGACTAAAGAAAGCCGCTGACTGGTTTCTTTTGGTCAATATTTTTAGTACATAACCCAAATATTACTCTTTTTGCAGTAAATTAACATAGGATTCTGTCGTGTTATTGATTTGACTGTTTTCCTGCTTTGTGTCCATGCAGGTTCATATCCACAACAAGCTGTTTACCCTCAGCAGAGCACAGCATCCGTTTACCCGCCTGCTATGCAAGTTCCTGCTCAGGTGTCTCCATATCCAGATGCCCCTCCCCCATACTCTGAGGTTACCAGTACTAGTTACTCTCTGTCTGGTCATGTGAATGTGCAGTACCTCATAGTATAAAAGGAGTAGGAAATACCCATATTTTTAAATTAGTTTGAAGGTAGGGTAGGATATTTTCTAAATGGCTAGCAATAGCAAAGTAACTTTGAAAGCATTAGATCCCACCCTCCAAAACAAATCACAAACGCACACAGCAGAGTTTGCTTAGCTCACGAGACGAGAGATGGCACAACCTCCTGTCTCAAAGCACATAACATTACAATAATAATGAACATGAACAACATAAAGAGCACTCACCTGTACCACCTGACTGCTGCAGATTCATTTCGGTGTTGATGATGTTGCCATTGAAACTCAAATCAATTCATATCACAAACAGTATAAGGTCACAGGTTTCAATCTCGTCCAAATTACAGTAGTTATGGCGTGAACACATAAGCTGGTTGTTTTGGTTTAGGAGGAACTATTAAAGGCAGCTGCTGTTTGTTTTTGGCGCATTGTGACTGTCTGTCTACAACTCTACATAGCATGAAACACGATGATGACGTGTGATGACGGAGGTGTGGAAATACATGTGTTGTCAGGCCAGTAGGACAACCATTACATGCAGACTGAATGCAATGATTGGACGAACGTTTTAAGGTCCTACGCGTTCCACATATATATATATATACATATATATTCATATATATATACATATCTCGACTCTCTTAACATCCTGATAGCAAGTTAAATGGTCTAAATGCATTTATATATATATATACAAATCGAACAAATCGCCTACCCTGCCTTTAACACTGAAGAATCCACATTCCCTTACTCAAGACTGCATGCTAAAGATTCCTTCCTTTTCTTAGAAAATGCATAATTTCTGGAAATTGTTTTTGATGAATCATCTGTTGTGATGCAAGTGCCACCACTCGGACAGACAATGCAATTTAACTGATGAATTAAGGCCCGTTCACACCAAGGATGAGAACTATGATGATAAAGATGTAGTTAAAAATCTTTCTAAATGGAAAAGTATAGTTGAGTCCACATCACAACTAAAGCGGTAACGGCACAGAGTAATGACTTTCACAACAATTTTTCCAGCTGATGAATGATAAAAAACATTGACAAGAACCAATCAGAATCAATCTTGCTTTAAAGACCTCGGGCATTTAAAGCGTCAGATGACCAAACTGCAGTGTGTGCTTATTAATGAACAGAACGACATTGTGCATTGGTGTGATCATCACTAATATAGTCACAAAGGAAAGAGATATTCTAGCCAGTATGCTAGATTTGTAACAAATAACTTGAGAAAAATGAAGCAATAAGCCAAAAGAGGCTACTAATCTCAGTGAATTGATTGAGTTTGACCTTTTTTTTTTTTTTTACAAAACGGCATCAGAAGTGAAATAATAAAAGATACTAATGTTCAATTAAATAATTATTATAGTCATTTTATTAATCATATCTTTTTATTTATGGACTAGCTATGCCATAACAGATTGTTGTTTATCTGCATTTTAAAATGGCTTCAAGTGTTTGTTTTTTTTAATATAAATTGTATTATCCCATACAAATATCATTAAAATAACATTTGAGGGTTTTTACATTCCACAGGTTTACCAGCCCAGGTATATGGCTCCTCCCCCAGCCCCTGGACAGATGGCCCAAATGACCTCAGCATACCCTGGTACTCAGATGTACATGCCCATGCATGCTCAGTCTGTGCCAATGGGAGCCATGGCCTCCGGTGTCCCAATGGCTTATTATCAAATGGGACCCATGTACCCTCCTGGCTCTACCGTCATGATGGAAGGTGGATTTGATGCTGGAGCTCGCTTCGGGCCTGGCGCCAGTGCTTCCATTCCTGTGAGTATTACCTTAGCCAGGAAGTAATATCCATTTATATAGAATATAATTATATGTAAATGAACAATGTTTACTCGTTCTCCATGTTACGTGGACCGAGAAATTGACGTTTATTTTAGTTTTGACAGCTCCTGGGCCTTTGCAGATTATACTTCTGAGTTTTTGTTTCCCCGCCCACGGACAGTCGGATCGTCAGAGGGTTATTAACAGAACAGTAGATTTGCAAGAGTATATAATCACTGAAAACCATATCATACTATGTCCACTCTTTAAACAGCATTATGGTAAAAAAACGAAACACTGGCAACCGCTTTCTTACCTGCGCACAACAGCGTTTTGATTTGGGAAGTTGTGCGGAACTGACAGAACGCCAGTTTCTTTCAGTTTTTTCCCTCCTGACTTTTTGCATGTACTCTTTTGTCCTCGAGAGAACCATTTAGTTCCAGGAAATTGATTTGAAATTCCCTGTAGGTTCAGTCTTTTCTCAGATCCTATAAATTACTATTTACTAAATGTTCTGTGGCTTAAAATGTACTTGCTTAACATATTTGTCTCTACATTTAAGCCTCCACCTCCTGGTCACCTCCCTAACGCTGCTCAGATGGCGGCCATGCAAGGTGCAAATGTCGTGATGACACAACGCAAGGGCAACTTTTTCATGGGCGGCTCCAACGGCGGTTACACCATCTGGTAACAGTAAACATCACCCTGGGCCTGGACCGAAGCCCTCCTTTCCCTCTCCCTGGTTCCCTTTACCTGTTCTCCCACGCCTGCCTCCCTTGGGGCTGCTTGGCTAAGCCACAATACTGATTTAATCTAATGGAATGTAATATTTTAGAGCCCCTTACTCAAGGTACAATACTCCGCTGTTGATATAATTGTGTCAAAGCGCAGTTATTGCGTATTCACGATAAACCGCTTTCAAAAGTGCATGATATTTGTAAGATTGTAAGAACTTCTAGTGATCATATATGTCATTAATCATAATTATTGGTTGGCTAAGACAACTTTTAAGGTGAAAACCAGGTCATTTTTACCTTTATTGCCACTGACGTACCTCTTACAACTTCATTTTTATAGTACATTTTCTAGTTTTTGGTTGTTTTCTTGAGCCGGAGATCATGCCAAGAGAACCACCAAGCCGGTTTTATCATCCGTGTAAAGTAGCTATGCACTTGAAACGTTCTCTTTGAGTAGTACGCTTATCTAAGCCTTTCATTCCTATCATTATTAAGGTCTTGTCAGATTTGTCAAATGTGGATGTAGGCGCTCGAAATTAAAGAGAAAGCGTGTTTACAAATTCAAACAGCGGTGGCGTATTGTACCTTTGGGCAAGCGTATATAAATATTATCAGGTGCCAAAACTGCACCATTATTTAAAAATAAAGGAATTTACATAAGAATGAACCTAAATGCAGTAAAAGAGAGAGCGAACAAGACAAACAAAAGTCGGACTTTCTTTTTTTTTTTCCGAATATTTTCCCTCCTATGTCGGATACCCAGAGCTGTACATATAGCCGTTTAGAGTGTGTTTTGTGTGTTCCAGCTCTATGTGCTTCTTCACAAACCTCTTTAGCAATTTCCACAAAGGTAAAGTTGTTTACAATGGTCAGGGCTTAATCAAGAGACGATTTATTTTCAGTATTTAAAATTGTTTGGCACATCAAGCATTTTGTTTGTTTGTGGGGAGCTGCTTGTACCAAAGATCTGGACTAGAATGCACTAAAAGCTTTTTGCTTTTTGTAAGTCTTCTTCTGTCAAAGTACATCTGCACTCAGATTCATACTGAAATAAGTAAACATATCATATTTAGATGACGGTGACTGCTTTGCCGGTGTCACGCACCAGGTAGAGCACACCACTGCTGTGACTGCATTTTGTAGGGGGGTTGTGTTGAAAAATATATACATGTTTCCTAGTTGCATCTTGATGTTTCTGCATGCACTTTTCAGTCATTTTGTTCTTAATAAAAAGTTATTGTTAACATTTTTTAGAAGTACTACAAGATTAATTTATGTGCACTGTCAACCAATTCTGAACTGTTTGTGCCGATTTCTTTTGTACATATGCTTTTAGATACGAAAACAGCATCAGGTACACTTGTTGCCGCATTGATGATTTTTCGAAGCAGCACGGTAATACGTAGTAGCATACACAACGGCTTGTGTTCGGGTGTTGATTTGTTAATGTTTCACAAGGGATTACAGTTTTCATCACATCTGTAACGTGACTTAAAATGTTTTTCCTGACATGAAAGGAAAACCTCACCGAGTTACACCAGCAGTTGTCTCCACCACTTTTTGCTCTTGTAATTTATTTAATTGCTAAATCCTCATTTCTACTCCCAGCAGTGCTGGAATGCTCTTCAAAAGTCTGCTTGACACTACAATTCTGTAGCAGTTACCTGTATTATATGTGACTGTAATTTAAAGTGCTGCTTTTTTTGCTAGATAATGGAGGTGAAATGCTTAAAAATGCTCACTTGAGTTTATTCTCCATACATTCACTGGTATTTTTTTGCCATTTTGTCGTATATATTTTCTGATTGGTTAAAAAAAAAATGAAACAAAAAAAAAAATAGGGAATTTCATGATAGCTTGGCAAATGGGGCTACTTTTTAGGCTTTATGTGTATCAGGTGCATCACTGGGTATCCGACACTATAGTTCTAAAGGCTTTGCCCATCTGAATAAAAAAAACATTAAGGTAGATTTTCTATCTGCAAATAAAGAAAAAAAGCAAAAAATTCTGATGTCTTTTTAAAAAAAACATGCCAAGTATGCTGGCATTGCCTTAGCACCATTTATATAATTTTCCGTGACTTCTCATGTTGGTTATTTGAGTTTGAAACTTCTGACCTGGTTATTCCTAACCTGACTTTTTATTACGTATTCAAATCCCATTTCATTTATTTTTACTTTGCTATGAAAATAACTCAAGGCAAAAAAAAAAAACATGAGGGCAAAGTCTTCAGAACTCTTATCTGTTTCAATTTTAGCGCAGCATTTTATCTTGGCATGTGCCACCGTGTGTTTGTGTATGCAATGTAGCGGATACACTGCTTATCTTGAGCCTCAATACCATGACAGTCACGGATGGTATACGTGTTTGTGGGCACTACAGTTCAGGGAACCCTTTTAATTTTTTTTTTCTATATATATAATATAAAATAATTGTGATGGGTTATAATGGATGCATACTGCAGCATCATGGAACCGAGGTCCTTCCTAGTTTGCTACATGACAAAATGATCTCCAGTGAATAATGTGGTGCACTTAACTTTTTTTATACTAAACCTTAAGTATAAAACAAAATTTAGAATAAAAGCTATTTTGAATTTTGAACATCTGTGTTGTAATATGTCTTTCACCGTTTGGTGTGGAAATTTTTGCCTGCTGACTGGTTTATGTGAAGGTTTATCTCTAGATTACAACAAATGTTTGACTAAATGTCTCTTGAAATTCACATTTAATCCAAAGCAAGACCGTATATAGATCTTGGAAATTGATTATTGTTATAAATTACAATTCAGAGGCTTAAATAGTTGCATGGATGTCTTGTAGACAAATTAAATTAAGTTTTACTAGCAAATTTGAACTAACATGCCACTTGTATTTGACATGGTGTTATCTTCATTAACCACAGTAACGTATTGATAGTGCAATAAAAAAAGAATCAAAATCCAATATAAATTACATTCATTTTCTTAAGATAAAAATGTAACCCTGCACAGAAAAATATACAGTATCATACGTGTTTGACATTATGATCAGCATCTGTCTGTTTTACAAATAATGAAAAAGATAATTATATTTGGCACCGTTACAGCATGGCTTTGTACAACTTGAATTATAAAACATAAAAAATCTAAAAATGCTGCCATTAATAAATAATAAAAAAAGCCAGGCTAAATGGTCAAAGAGAAAAAAGAAATTTGTAAAGCCACAAATGAACACTAAGTGACTTCTAAGTGACTCAAAATCTTGTTTGTACGGTGCCTCTAATGTTTAGCATTTACCACTTATGTAAGCAGACTTCTAATAATACCTGATAATATAACTCATGCATATGAACTGTGTAATTTCTGCTGAAGTAGCGAATACATAGTTTGGATTGGACTATAAACTATGTACAGGCATAACAATTTTATAACAAAAAAAGAAGAAGATTGTCCCAGTAACTGAGAGTAACTTTACCATACCAAAATTGATGGTGAGCTTATTGACATCATAAATAAACAGCTCATTTTACTTATGGCTCAAACTGAACTCAAACAGTATCCATTCAACTAAGCATTCTTCCTCACAGCACAGGCTAGTGGCTTATGTCCCATATGTCCTTGCATATAAACCTCTCTACATTGACTATTTAGATGTCTGAAGCAATCCATGCATTTTTAGCCAGATCATTGGTCGAATCCCTATGATGCTAAGCAGTTCAGATGAAGTATTCCTTCTTGTTGTCTGTGACGGTGTCATTATAGACTTGTTCTGGGTCTACTCCTGGCGCCGGCTCACCTGCAGTTCTGTAAACACCCTTACTGTGGCACAGGTATCGGTACAACAGGAATCCACAGAGAGCGAGGGTCACCAGGATCAGGGCAATTACCACTAGAAGAAAAATAAAACGCATTTTAAACAGCTGTCAATGGACAATAGAACAAATGAAGATATATTAATACTCAAAAAATAATAAAGTGGAAAAAAGTCCCCATTAAAAATAATCGAATAATCATTTTTTTTTCTCCAAAAAATCAATTCTAAAAGGCTTAAAGATAATTAAAAGCACACAGCGTTTTTGGTAAATGGTTTCATATCACATAATAAACAAACTATTTGTATGACATATTCGTAATTCATATGATAAAATAAAGCATTATTCACACAATCCAACCTGACCTGAAGTCAATACAGTGAATATAAATGGATGTATGCATTTCTAAGTGCAAAATTTGTCAGATTCAAAATGAACAAAATTCAGTTATTGAATGTAAACTTTAAGAAATGTCATTTTTACCCTTTTATTTCAGAAGCATGCATTCAATTGATCTAAAGTGACAGTAAAGTCATGTATAATGTTTCAAAACTTTTATATTTCAATGTTTTTTCTTTTTTTACTTTATTCAACAAAGAATCCTAAGAAAAAGTGTCACGATTTCCACAATAATATTAAGCAGCATAATCTAAGAAATGTTTCTTAAGCAGCAAATCAGCATATTAGAATGATTTCTGAAGGATCATGTGACACTGAAGACTGGAGAAATGATGCTTTTCCATATATATCATTGCACAATACCTTGCAAATCTGAAACTGTCCCAACAAAAGCTTTCCAGGAGTGTCCAACACAATCTAATTCAGTGGGTTTGGTCTAATATCATGATCTGCACTGACGTGTCCTATAGTATAAAAAACTAGACTGATAGACTGGCTGACATTTACCTCCTATTACAGTCGAGTCTGTTTGTGGTGTAGCAGCTGTAGTATTTGCGGCAACATCTGTCACTGTGAAAAAAACAAAAACACTGAAGATGACACAAAACCTGTATGTCAAGATTACATGCACTAAAACGTGGAATTACAACCATTTCAGCTGGAGAACATGATCAGCATTGTTGAGGAGTAATCAGATTAAGAGAAAAAAAATATCATGGCACGATGTTAGGCATTAACTGTGCGTAGATTTTATTTAATGCTTCAGTACTACACCAAATGAGGCCAGAATTGAAAAGTGTACATGTATTACGTATATGTTAAATAAATTGTGTTGGTGCCAAGACAGATTATATTGCACTAGGCTAATATACTGTTCTGATACATTGTTTGATATGAGTGACACACCCAAAGTCTGTGAGGGAAACTTATTATAGTTTGCTCTTTATATTAGAAGAAAAGGTGCACAACTTACCACTATGTACAATGCTAGTCATGGTGGAAGTCATACTTGTATCGGAACGGACACCTATGTGGAGCAAAATAAAGACTTGTGTCGACAATTACATTTTTAGTATCACCTGTGACTGTGAAAGAGTCATATGACTTATTGAGTAAACCTCATTTATATTACATGTGGACAAACATCACTGGGTTGTGAGACAGAAGCATCACTCAACAACCTGTACATTACAGTCTACTGACACTGACTAAAGTGAGAGACTTTTTGGGTCAAAGGACTTTTCAAATACACCCATTTTTCAAAATAATACACATTACAATTTAAGGGACGTTCCACGGTACAGGTGCCTTTTCTAGTTTGATAGTGATTTTTCAGATACATTGCTTATGTTGTCACAATTATGCCACAATTATGCGGGGTTTTTTTTAAATGAAAGATGAAACTGACATTACAAATGTTGTTCAAAAACACATTTTGACTTCTCAATGCTGGTTCACTACACAAAATGTTTAAATTAATTGATTAAGAGGATACATCATCCTTGGAAGTTCACTTGTTAAAAGGATGACAATGTCGTTATGACAAGGTGTTTATTTATTGAATAGTCAACTAAAATCTAAAATATACAGACATAAAATGACTGTGTATGTGTGTGTAGTTCATGTATCCTCTTACGTTATGGGGACAAAATGTTGCCACAATGATGGCAATACCTGAAATCTTTAGGGACATTTTTTTTTGGTCCACAGGGTCGTTTACACCATGCTCTCTCGTCTCACACCTTGTATCCTGTTTTGGTGTCGTAAATTAATTTAATTACTTAAAGAATACAGCGATGATACACACTAAAAAATTTTAAAAAAGTGAAAAAAATGACTAAAAGGATGTGTATCATAGCTGTATTCTTTACTTTTTTTTGGTCCCTCTGAGAAAAACAGCTTATAAGTCATTATACTAAATTATGTTTTTGAAAATGTAAAACTGCACAAAGAAAGCCCAATAAAATATGGTTGGTGTTATGATCATTATGTCTTTATAATGTCACCACAATGAAACCGGTGTGTGTGGCCTGGTAAACCCTTTGTGGGAGCAAAATGTCCCCATAAAGATGGCAATATCCAAAATCCTTGTGAGTCCTTTTTTTGGTCCCCATGAGGACTTATAAATCATATACGTGATATTTTTTAAAAAAAAATAAAAATTCAGTTTTCTGTGATTGGTAGGTTTAGGAGTCGGGTTAATGTAAGGAGATATAATATACAGGTTGTACAGTATAAAAGTCAATATATCTATGGAAAGTCCCTATACAACTTGAAAACAACGTGTGTGTGTGTGTGTGTGTGTGTGTGTGTGTGTGTGCAGGGCCGGCCCGAGGCATAAGCGAACTAAGCGGCTGCTTGGGGCCCCCTGGCCACCAGGGGGCCCCCTAATCGAGGTTATTTTTTATTTTTATTTTTTTAGATGACTTAAACAAGTGACATAAATCAATGAATGAATGAATATGACTGAATGAATAGTTCAAGACAACAAAATTCTGATTTAATGGTCAATATACCTGCCTACAAGTTACAACTGCTGCTCTGTCTGCCAGCGTTTAAGAAGTCATACGCATCTTCTAGACACCTCGCGCGTGCATAGACAATTCGTGCGCAACTGCGCCTAGTCACGGTATCGGTTTAAGTTGGAGAAAATAGCCCGCAGGAGAACTTATCCTTCAAGGTGTAAGGGTAGCAGTTTGAATAAATAATAAACATAGCAGTTTGAACTCTTCTCCACTTTATTATACCACACATCAGATCTCCAAACACCCGCGACACTCCAGTAGCCTAGCAAGTGCGCACGACCCATCTACGGCAAGCCCCGAGGGGAAAAATACATTGCATACACACATACAACGAGCGCCTGAACATCATAACCGGTATTATAGTAACAGACTGTGTTGATTATGTCATGTACTATATAACAAAGTCTGTTACAATAATAAAAATAACAATAATAAAGATTTTGAGGATAGTTACTCTGTATTGAGACAGTTGAGAAATAGGCTAGTAATATTTTTAGTTTTCAACAATAGCTGAGACCCAGAAAGTTTTTTTTTTTTAATTTAGTTTTTTTTCATGTCATCACATTGTTTAGAGCATAATAAACAAATGGTAAAAAAAAAAAAAAAACCTTTTTGAAAAATTATATTTTATTCATATGTAATACTTTGTCCTCTGTAGTGGACACCAGGACTCAGTTGTTAAAATTAAATGACATACAATGTGTAGGCAAAAACAATGGGATTTTTTTTCCAATCACCAATACATTTTGGGGTTTCAGGATTTTTTTGAACAAAAATTTGTATAAAGATGATTATCAACTATGTTATGAAAGATATAATGGAATTAATTGATACACCAATTTACTTTATGCAATATATGGGTAAAATTGGCATAAATTAATATTCCCATTCAATGCAAAGTATCTATACACTGTATCTAATTTGCACATTAATGTGTTCTTGGAGCAACATTTAATGAGGAAAGAAGTGTAAGCATTGGCGTAATAATAAGCAACATTTTAATAATAATATCTAATATGTCATAAGAATATTGACGTATAATTTATTTACATATTCACTTGTTATGTCTCCCAGAATGCCTGATAAACATGATTTATGTCCTGATGTTCTCTACAGTGGACATGAATGAAATCAATGCCCTGTAACGCAAAGTCATTTTTTTCATTTGAAACCCCATAACATTTTCATGAGATGTTGGTTGATGAAATACAATTTGAAAAGTAGTTAGATTTAAATTATAATTACAATATATTACCATATTTCAATAAGAGTGCTACATTTGATCACTAAATTAATGTTAGACATTTTTAAAGACCAAGGAGAAGTTGTTTTCATGGTGAAACCTCCAAACATTTGGTATCTCTGTATTGCCCTGAATGTGCTCTTTACAGGACATCCAGAAAAAAAAAGTGTGCCATGCATGGTGTCAGAGAAATACACTAAAATATAATGTCCACTACAGTGGACAAAAGTCTATTCCTGGGTCCCAGGAGGATAGGCCAAAGTATCATTGCTCTTACGTTTCTAATTTCTCAGTTTTGTCATAATTTTAGCAAATAATTTATTGTATAGCCTATGTTTTGAGACAGTTTTAAGACTGTTTTCAAACTTTTTTATTTAAGTAGGCATCAATTTTTTTATTAATACATAACCTCAGTGTATTCATTTATAATGTATCATTTTTGCGTGACATTTATGTCAATAATCGTCAAACACAGGTGACTCCGCGTCGTGGGAGGGGCCCCCAAATCAAATTCTGCTTAGGGCCCCCAAAAGGCTCGGGCCGGCGCTGTGTGTGTGTGTTAAAGTTGGAAACAAAAGGGTGGAGACAATGAGGAAAGTCAAAAAAATCATTTTTGATGTAGTTAGAAAAAATGTCTAGCACTAGGCCTAATATAAAAAACATTAAAAGTTGAATGACCTGAATTAACTCTTCATTATTTATCTCATATTTACACACACATGTATAACGTTAATGTACACACAGTATAACCCATTTTATGGAACCGACCTTCTCTTATAAATAAATGCTGTAGCAGCAGTCACATGTCTCACTTCCGAAATTTAATTTAAATTTAACTTTCCTTGTTACAAATCTTATAGGGTTCAGAGACACACGACGCTTATTTAGGCACAGTAAACACACGCTAGTAGTAACGTTACTGGGGTCGCCAAATACTCAAAGAAACAGTGTGTTTGTAGAGGCATCCTAAAACTAATTATGTTATTGTATCGATGGTAGTCGGAAACACCCTCTCACACTGTGAACGATCACTTTAAAAAGCTGCAAAACTCTTACAAATAATTGAACAGCTGTTCAGCCATTTGAGACCGTCAGATCTACTTTCAGTCCAACAGGAACAAAATGAAACTTACCTGAGTGCTTGAGTGTCAAAGTCGCGGATGAACAACTTTTCAGCTAAAGATGGCGATCACGGTGATAAAAGTTAAACTTCAGACTGATCAATAATGAAAAGTAGACTCACTGCGTTCTTTTCAAAGTAGAACAGCGTAAAGACACCACACGCTCACCGAGCGATGCCTGATTTTGCTTGAATCATTCTTTTGAGTCGAATCTTTTCTGAGCTTGTCTCGAGTCAATAACCATAACTGACTCATTTAACCCGTATTCGAAACAGAGATTGTAAAATGTCCGTAACTTCGGGGCTGATTGTTATTTGTTTAGTTTTATTATTTATTAAAACATGCAGAAACATTTTTTTGACTAAATGAATTTTAGTAGTTTAGGCCAAATGTAAATGAAAAATATGTTCCGTTTCTAATATGAAAATATGCAGTTTTCTAATAGCCTACCATAGCTGAAAGTGGTTTTAAAAACCACACTAATAAAACGTAATAATATATAACTTAATAAACTACTTTTATTGGGACGTTTGGATCATGGTTTGGATCTTTTTACAGTCTATGGTTTGGATGCGTAACATGCGACAAGGTGACGTAATTGCGTCACGAAGTAAATGAACGGTTGACTCGTTTATAAACAGGTTCTTTGAAACAAATAGTTCAAAAGAGCAGCCGATTCACGGAAACGAGGTGAGCTTGTGCGCGTTCACAAGAGTTTCCTCCTGCCCGCTCCCCTGAAGAGTCAAACAAACAATGGTCGCATTCCACGAAATGACAAACCAGCAACCACACCAGCATGCTTGACTAACCTCTGAAAAATAAAGAACGAGGATTCATTTGGATCCAGGGCCGGCCCGAGGCATAAGCGAACTAAGCGGCTGCTTGGGGCCCCCTGGCCACCAGGGGGCCCCCTAATCGAGGTTATTTTTTATTTTTATTTTTTTAGATGACTTAAACAAGTGACATAAATCAATGAATGAATGAATATGACTGAATGAATAGTTCAAGACAACAAAATTCTGATTTAATGGTCAATATACCTGCCTACAAGTTACAACTGCTGCTCTGTCTGCCAGCGTTTAAGAAGTCATACGCATCTTCTAGACACCTCGCGCGTGCATAGACAATTCGTGCGCAACTGCGCCTAGTCACGGTATCGGTTTAAGTTGGAGAAAATAGCCCGCAGGAGAACTTATCCTTCAAGGTGTAAGGGTAGCAGTTTGAATAAATAATAAACATAGCAGTTTGAACTCTTCTCCACTTTATTATACCACACATCAGATCTCCAAACACCCGCGACACTCCAGTAGCCTAGCAAGTGCGCACGACCCATCTACGGCAAGCCCCGAGGGGAAAAATACATTGCATACACACATACAACGAGCGCCTGAACATCATAACCGGTATTATAGTAACAGACTGTGTTGATTATGTCATGTACTATATAACAAAGTCTGTTACAATAATAAAAATAACAATAATAAAGATTTTGAGGATAGTTACTCTGTATTGAGACAGTTGAGAAATAGGCTAGTAATATTTTTAGTTTTCAACAATAGCTGAGACCCAGAAAGTTTTTTTTTTTAATTTAGTTTTTTTTCATGTCATCACATTGTTTAGAGCATAATAAACAAATGGTAAAAAAAAAAAAAAAACCTTTTTGAAAAATTATATTTTATTCATATGTAATACTTTGTCCTCTGTAGTGGACACCAGGACTCAGTTGTTAAAATTAAATGACATACAATGTGTAGGCAAAAACAATGGGATTTTTTTTCCAATCACCAATACATTTTGGGGTTTCAGGATTTTTTTGAACAAAATTTGTATAAAGATGATTATCAACTATGTTATGAAAGATATAATGGAATTAATTGATACACCAATTTACTTTATGCAATATATGGGTAAAATTGGCATAAATTAATATTCCCATTCAATGCAAAGTATCTATACACTGTATCTAATTTGCACATTAATGTGTTCTTGGAGCAACATTTAATGAGGAAAGAAGTGTAAGCATTGGCGTAATAATAAGCAACATTTTAATAATAATATCTAATATGTCATAAGAATATTGACGTATAATTTATTTACATATTCACTTGTTATGTCTCCCAGAATGCCTGATAAACATGATTTATGTCCTGATGTTCTCTACAGTGGACATGAATGAAATCAATGCCCTGTAACGCAAAGTCATTTTTTTCATTTGAAACCCCATAACATTTTCATGAGATGTTGGTTGATGAAATACAATTTGAAAAGTAGTTAGATTTAAATTATAATTACAATATATTACCATATTTCAATAAGAGTGCTACATTTGATCACTAAATTAATGTTAGACATTTTTAAAGACCAAGGAGAAGTTGTTTTCATGGTGAAACCTCCAAACATTTGGTATCTCTGTATTGCCCTGAATGTGCTCTTTACAGGACATCCAGAAAAAAAAAGTGTGCCATGCATGGTGTCAGAGAAATACACTAAAATATAATGTCCACTACAGTGGACAAAAGTCTATTCCTGGGTCCCAGGAGGATAGGCCAAAGTATCATTGCTCTTACGTTTCTAATTTCTCAGTTTTGTCATAATTTTAGCAAATAATTTATTGTATAGCCTATGTTTTGAGACAGTTTTAAGACTGTTTTCAAACTTTTTTATTTAAGTAGGCATCAATTTTTTTATTAATACATAACCTCAGTGTATTCATTTATAATGTATCATTTTTGCGTGACATTTATGTCAATAATCGTCAAACACAGGTGACTCCGCGTCGTGGGAGGGGCCCCCAAATCAAATTCTGCTTAGGGCCCCCAAAAGGCTCGGGCCGGCGCTGTTTGGATCATTAGTTTAATTGCTTGTGTAAAACAAACAAAAATAAAAACAATAGGCGAGTGGTAAGTAATTATTAGTAAAAGTTGTGGGTTGATTGTAAAGTAATAGAATACATTATAAACATATCCATTGTTTCCTGTGATCATTTGTAGATTCGATAAATGGATGTCATGTAAAGAGTTATATATCCAAAAACATTAAAATCCATAAGAATGAACACCACATGTGAAGGATAAAAGACAATACAGGAAACTTATTATATTCTAAAAGAAACTGTACTTGAATTAAAACCCAGAATTTAAACATTTCTCTGAAAAAAAACATAAAAAATATCAGGGATTTTTTTTGTCATCCAAGTCAGTATTTGGAAATCCTCTCTTATGTTGTGAATTTGCTCTCCAATTCCAGTGTATATCCATCAAACAACGTGTGTTTTCTGTAAACAGATAAATTTGAAATGAAATGCACATTAAGCCATTTGCTCATATGGATTAAATGAAACATATTCACAACATGAGTGTGAGATAAGTGCTCTCAAATTTTGCTGACCTTTTGCCTGCTATTTAGGGGCTTCTGTTTTCGTTCCTTCCTTCACCTCTCCTGACAGATGGTCACCCTTATTTAGAGCCTTGAAACATGTCAGATAAATAAAAATCACACCTCTTTTTGAGTTACATTGTTATATTTCTTTGAGGAATGAACATAATGGCTACATTCAGAATGGAGTACATGTGTTTAGGGTTACAGAACTCACATAGCTTGAAGCATCAGTTTCTTCCACATCTGATTTAGGGTCACGAGCTACTCCATTCTCCACACCAGAAGGCCCATCATTCTCCACCTTCTCAGATGATTTTTGATCTTTGATCTTGGAGCATTCGGTGGGACTCTCATCACTGTCCTCCTCAGAAGACTCCTCCTCATTTGGCATATCTCCCCGTCCATCTTGACTTGAGGCTTGCGAGGACTCTTTATTTTCCGCTTTCTTGTCTTCTACCACTGGTTTATCTTCAGAGGTGCTGGTGCCATCCACATGTGGCTCGTCCTCTGTATCGTCTAATCTTATAGGGCCTCCTTGTGCATCTTTTGTACCAGAGACGTTGTCATAAATGGGTAGAGGGCTGGGGCTGTATAACCCATATGCTGGTTTGTCAGACCTAAAACTGGATGAGTTGCCTCTCCTGTAATAGCAAATGTATAGAGAATTAAGTTGGTTTGAATCTTGAAAACAGATATCCATCCTATTCAGTGATACATGCTGAAAATGTATATACAGGTACTGGGGCTAGTTGTCAAAAGTCAATATAAAGATTTGGCAACATATTTTAAACAATTTACATTGTTATTGCCCATGGGTTAAAAGATACACTTTTTTGGTGAAAAAATGCTAAATGGGTAAAAAATAATCCTTTAAAAAAAAAACGGTAAATAACTGGCAGCTGTGGTTCCCAGCTTCATACCGTAAAAATATGGTGTGTCACCGTTTTTGTGTTAGAGAATATAGCTGTTAAATTAAAGTTTTATACTTTATGGTATTTAGCTGTTAATTTTAAAAACAGTAACACACCGTATTTTTGCGGTATGATGCTGCAACCACAGCTGCCAGTAGTTTACCGTTTTTTTTTACAGGATTATTTTTAACTAATAAATACCTGAATGTAGGTTTATGTAGGTAATGTAGTTTAAATGTCTATATAGCTAAACTCAAATAGTAAAACTATTATGAGCCACAAAACATTCATTCTGCAATAATGGGAAAGGTACAAAATAAAATAAAAAACTACATTATTATTTTGGCCAAATGATATTGCATTGCTAGTAAACAAGTATTTGTGTAATTTTACTTGATTTAAAAATACATTTTGTGACTCTTCTTTATATAACTAATCATTCACATTCACCAGCAGATGGCATTAGTTCCCAACTTTTTAAATTTGCAAGGCAAAGAGAGATTGAAATGATGATTTTTACCTGAGAGAATCTCTGGGGCTGTAACCCTTGTGCATATCATAAAAGCTTTTAAGTGATCTGGGAGACAACGTGTCTCGAAATGACCTTCTTTTCAAGGAACCTGAGCTTAAAATAAAACAAAGAGAGTCATTTGTACTATATTTGACAGCTAATGTCTTACTGATATTTAACTTGTTTAAAAATTACGTATAGAAGAACAGCTTATAAAGACTTATACCGGTATAAATTCTTCACGACAAAGCTCTTGTCTGGATGTTGGACGTTCAGCTCTTTCATTACAGTCTGTAGAACCTCGTTGTTCTAGGGCAAAAAAAAGTAGTTGCAGATCATGAGGAATCACTGTTTATTGATTCAAGCTGTATTTTGGTTTACCTTGGTAATTTCCTTGTAGAAGGTGTCTCTGAGGTTGCAAATGGCTTGGAAGACTGTGACATAGCAACCAATACGACTATAGAATGCAGAACAAATAATATTGGCCAAGTTTACGTTTGTAGATGTCAAAAAAAAAAAAACTAAAATAAATTAATATATATACAGACCATAAATTAAGCAGGCGGTAACACTTCATATTACAGTCCTGTTCCCCGTGTACATATTATACAATAACTGGGTAATAAATACTAACCCTGAACTTAATAACAAGAACTTTCTTTGGTAAATACACATACAGAAAGTGCATGTACTGCAAAATAGAGCGAAACCATATAATTTATAAAATTATACCCATAACATATACCAAAATCTTTATTATATTTAATTTGTGTAATGAATTAACATTTGAACAAGTTCCATCTGTGCACTATAAAAACAACTCACGTGTCAAATAGAATAGGCAACTCCATCTTCAGCTCGCTGTTCATGTCCTCAAATATCACCTTGGCTGCATTCATCTCATCCTCTGCCTTAAAAACAAAAGCACAAAGGAAAGTCCCATACATCTTGTCTTCATAAATCATGTCAGTATGATGTTAGTAATGTCATGTTTGGTAGTAAAAAAACACGATTGGAAGGTTAGAACTTATCTGGTTACCAACAAACTTTGTCAGTCATAAAATAGGCCTACCTTTCCAATTTTGATGTCATCCTTCTTTTTAGCATTCTGCATCCCTGCCAGGTGGTGACGTGTAGAATCATAGTCTACAAGTTTCCTGTTTCGCTTGGCCACTCTTTCCTGAATCATGAAGAAAAATAGTTTAAAAACGGCTCATTTTTAAAAAAAAAATATTGAGAGCTTTGTGCAAAATGTATGCGCCATTATGTCAGGCAGGCAGTCGTTTTTACCCTGACGTCTGGAAACTGGCTCATGTAAGACTCCATAGTGATTAATGCCTGATCACGCAGCTTGGACTCGTAATCTTTCCACAGAAGCTCTTCTCCCTTTGGGACACAGAGAGACACATTTATAATAAAAGCATAAATGCAATGTGTTCATCATATAAAGCGATCACGTGTCTTCGGAAAATTTGGACTAAACCGCTCAATTCATATCCATTCTTTTAATGAACTTTTTGAAGCGTCAAAGCGTCAATGGAGGAACGGATCTTTGTTTGTGTTCCAAAGATGAACGAAATTATTACGGGTTTGGTCGGAACGACATGAGGGTGAGTAATTAATAACAGCATTTTCATTTTGGGGTTAACTAGCTATCCCTTTAACTGACAATGTCCTGGCAGAAATAAATATGTTCATGATTTGTCTGAAGTCAAATCAACTTAAATAATTAATTTGGTTCAGATAACATAATATTTTTGAGTTTATGATGATTAAATCAATCTCCTTCATTGTATTAACTCAATTTTTCCATTTCAATGCACTTAAAATTTTAAGGCATTTTTTACACTGTAGGTACCATATCAATTTTTCTACAGAATTTTTGTCTTACAATGTGATCTCTGACACTTACCTCCACAACTTCCCCAAGATCTTCTACACCATCCCATTTATCGTCATAGGCATCAAACAAGGACTGAAACAGTCGACCTGACGCATCTTTCATTACTATTAAACATCAAGCACAATAAAGCATGTCAGTATTCCTGTGTATAATCTCCTGCACAAGTCTCATAGTCAAGACTGAGCCAACCTGTGACAGCGTTGAGGTACGCTTTAAGGTCCTTGTATATTCTGTATCCATCGCTCTGCAATAGAAACCACAAGGAAAAAATAGGTCAACTTTTGATCTTCAAAGCTGTTACTTTGGAGACCGTAGATGTAATGTACCTGTTGAAATTGGAGGTTCATTACACACTGCTCAAAGTGCTCATCTTTGGTCTCCTCAGATTTGCCAAGTCTCTGCAAAACCTGCAAAGGGATCACATTTTACAACGTGCCTACAAACACCAGACAAGGGTATTCTCCAAGTATATTGACAAAGAAAAAAGGCTTAGATCCTAAGACCTTTTGATCTTACTTCACCAACGATCAGTTTTGAGACGACAAGATATGAAGGGTTTAACAGGTGAAAACAGAAAAGTATGGTGAATTGGTCAGCCTTGGCTGACAAATGAAAGCAATTCTGGGAATAAAGGACACTGTTAAGCTGAGTAGGAAGCTGCATGTTTGCATTTAGTCTTATTGATGGAGTAGATAAAACAACTTGTGCCAGCTACTCCCATGTCATGTGACTGAATCGATTATTGGATCAAGATAACACTAAAGTGTCTGCGCTCTCAAACAGGAAGACTGACAGCACTGGAAAGCACTCCGGCTATCTTAACTCTATTGTGTTTTATGATTCCAGCCACGTACCTTCTCTTGTGCCCGGCTGAATTTTTTCTGCACCTGTTTAGCAAGCACATTGGCCCCTCCTTTCGAGCTGATGCTGGTCTTGCTTTCTGCCATGCTCTTCACTTGTATTCAATCTGGAATAATGTTTCAATAGCCCTTCAAATTAAATGGCCAACCCTGGAGAATAAAAGGAACTTTTTTTATAGCAAAAGACAGATGACTTGGTGTCTTTCGCCTGTATTCTGTCTGAGCCCAAACACACCTTCTCTTGTTTTTTTTATAGCCATAAGTCATAAATTTCTTATCTTTCAGGTTGTGAGTTGAGCACTATGTTTGGAGTCCCCTGAGTCATATTTCATTGTGAATGGGTATTTGATGTAAGAGCCCACTAGTCAGAACACAGAAATTATATTATATTATATTGAACTGAGCTGAATAATGACACTATTATCTTCTTTAGAGCTGCTTCACTAAAATTGAAGTTAAAGATGAATGAATTTTGCAACTTTAACACCATTATTTTCCTGTTAATTACTGTGAAGCTGCTTAGGAACAATCTATTTTGTAAAAATTGCTAAGTGTAGCCTAATAAAAGAGATAGCCTATGTAGAAGTTTGTCAGTTTTGGACCTATTTTATACTATTCTATTGTATTTTATATCACATAATGAAGATCCAACATTCAACTTGTTCTATAGCCTATTCTTAATCAAATAAGTGGACGTAAAATTTTGCATGTCTATTGTTTTTATTGTGTTCTGTTCTAAGCTATGGGTTCATTATGGATATTTCTATTCTATTTTCTATTCTATCATATTCTAATGTATTCAAGCAGTAGACAATACATAAAAATCATTAGATATTCTCAAACTACAGTTCCCATAAGGCACCGTTCAGAATAGAATCAGCATTGGCCACTCCTCCTCCTCCAGTGTGTATGTTATGAACTTTGCTCTGCCGTATTTTTTTCTGTAGGGTTGTATGTTTGAGCTCAAGTTTGAAACATTGATGCTTCTGAACCTGCTGGAGATGATCATGGGAAGCACGTTGGCTAAATGTGCAGCCATCGACCTGGCCGTGCAGTGGGTCGGATGGGGACTAGCGTCTACTCTCAAAACTGAAAAGTTTTACGACTTGGCAGGTAAATGATTTATCCAAAAGGCGTAACTTATCTTGATATAGTAGTATAATATTGACTGATTAATCTGTTTGTGCATTAGAATGCGCAGATTGCACACACATACCTATATGGTATTTCGTATGTGTGTTGTATGTGTTTCGTAGGGTCGCAACTTGTTTTTACTTGTTTATTGTGAAAAATAGGTTGTTATCAACATGTATTACGAGACGGTGGTTATCTAAACTACAAAGAAGTGTTGCGAAACCATCATAAATACGTCTCCACCCACAAGACACGATCTTAAAATCAGCTTACAGAAAGCGCATGATTTCCCCCACCCGTATTTCGACAAGCCGTCTTTTTAACCAATCAGACGCATTACTGTACAGAGTAGTCGTCGCTTGATTGGCCAAACTGTGGAATCGTCACTGTCAATCATTCAGCAAGAGGCGGGACTTGTCAAAAACGGATGGAAAAAAATTACTACGTTAGCTCGGATATGTGATTTTTTTTTTTTTTTTTTAGATAAATAACTTCATGTGCAATAAAATATGCTATTTTAATTTTTATAAATTAAAACGTATGCATAGACATCAAAAATCAGTTACATTAACACTGAAACATACATTCTGTATAGATGTTAAAATACATTATCACACGTCACATACTATCATAATTTTCAACACAACAGTAATGTTTTATACCGCATATATTAAGAATTTTGACAGTTATACTGATTATAATTTGATTCATTGCATATAGAAAGTGATTATTGAGAAGAGAACATTAGCATATGATTATGTAGTAGGCTAATGCAAATACTTATTTTCTACATAAAAAAAAAATCAAAAACAAACAACAACAAAAACATTAGCTTCTACTTACCTGTCAACATTCAATATGCATTTCTTTTTAATGGAGTACAAAAATTATCCAACCATTTCAGTCTTTCAAACCCAGCTTCCTGAGTGCTATTCCCTCTTTCTTTCTCTTTGAGAAGTGTGCTCTTGAGAATCCTTGAACTTTGCTACCAATTGTCTCTATGTTCATTGGTAAGATATTCAGTGAACACGCCTCACTTTTAAAATGGACGGACACAGGTGACTGGCTGCTCTGCCCATATCCGGAGGGATATTGAATGCCTTATCAGTTTAACCACAAATTAATTTTGTTGTTTTGTAGGATCTGGTACCTATATATTGCTGGCTCATCTGAGTCGTGTATGGGGCGGAAATGGACACCTTAGGCAGAACGTACAAACTGGACTTGTTACTGCCTGGGGACTGAGGTAAGATAGATAGATAGATAGATAGATAGATAGATAGATAGATAGATAGATAGATAGATAGATAGATAGATAGATAGATGGATAGATGGATAGATGGATAGATAGATTGGATTGGATTCTGGTTGCTTTAACAGCGTTAAAAAGTGAAGTCAGTCCAGCTTCATGTTGTATTAAAGTATCTATTAAAGTCTGGTTAATAAGTCAATAAGTAACAGATTGGGCCTTGTCCTGCAGACTCGGGACATTTCTCTTTCTTAGAATCTTAAAGGAAGGACAAGACCGGAGGTTTAACAATGTCAGAGACAGCCCTGGGACATTCTTTGTGTACTGGACCATGCAAGGTATTTCAACTAAGGCTATTGATTATTTGCACAGTTACTGCTAATTGATGGCTGAAGTTGGCCATGCGTGTCCAATCATTATCACAACAAAAAGAGACAACTATGAAAGTAATTATATTATATTATGAATCACATGAGGAGAAGTTTTGCACCTATTCTATACTGTTCTATCACATAATGATGATAAATCATTCAATCTATTCCATCCTATTTCTCTATTCTATTCTATTCTATTTTGAATCAAAAAAGTGGATGTAAATTATTTTGCATCTATTCTTGTACATTATTTTTAATTTCATAGTTACTGTTAATTGGTGGCTGCAGTAGGCCATACTTGTCCAATCTTTAAACATCACAATAATGTCACAAAAAAAAAAAAACTAGGAAAGTAACTCTAAAAAGAAATTCCACTAAACCCAGAAGAGTACTAGACTGAGTAATAGATTGAAACATGTTTTTTCTCCTTCTTTCCAGCTCTGTGGGTATTTGTTACCCTCTTGCCCACCCTAATTCTAAACAGTGAGAGAAGAGACCAGCCCCTTGGCCCACGTGACTACATCGGTTGGGGAATATGGGGGCTGGGTTTTGCTACAGAGGCCATTGCCGACCAGCAGAAGTGGAATTTTAAGAGTGATCCAGATAATGCTGTGAGTAATAACTTGCACTGATAATAATAGGCTGATAAGACTACTCGGTTGCGAAAGATAATGATATGTAAATCATATAATTCATATCATAAAAATATCTTTGAATATATCTACAGTTTTATGAGACCTGCACTCTTGACAGATTACAAACTGGATCAAACTGGTTGTCCTTAACCCTCTGGTTGTCTTTGGTCATAATGAACCAAAAGAAAATACGTTTTGAACATTTTTTATATAATCGGAATTATAAAAATCTTGGTAACTTTTGTGGCCATGAGAATACACAAAAAAATGTAGACTTGAAACATTTTTGGGGGTGTAATCTACAAATAGTCTTTGAGAATGTTTAAATATATATCCAAATGCAAAACATTATAAAATAATGTCTGAAATTATTCTTATTAGCAACTGAAAACACAGCCCTATATATTAGCTATGCTGGCATCTAGTGGTTACTCACTGGTATTACATATGATTTTCTTTATTTCTTCCAGCAGATGGCACTAATCTGCCTTACGTGCATTTTTCCTAATACCGTTGCTATATTTTTACTTAAACACTGTATTAATTGAAAATAATATAATAATTATGTAATATTTTTCTTGTGTTTGTTTTAATATATATACACACACACATACATGCTGCCTAATTTTGAGGTGAATATTGTCTAGTACCATGAAATAAAAGAATAAATATTATTGAAACAAAATATCATACACTAATTACATACATCGAATTTTTTACGTTTATTGTCTTCAGTCTTTTTTAACAATTGAGGAAATGTGAGCCCTAATTGAGGAATACCAGAGAGTTCGAGAAGAACGGCATATTTTCTATATGGGCTAAATACACAAAAAAACAATTAAATGTGAACCATGTGTTCTTTAAAAAAAAAAAAAAAAAAAACAGCCTGAAAGGGCTATCTGTTTGTCCAACTAATGGAAGACAAGGGCAGCATGAAACAGCTAGGGTACGTCTCAATCAGTTCCCTAGTTCAGTAGTCAGGGCACTGGCCAGGGAGTCGGCCATTTTAAGGGCTGTCTCTATTGCAGAATCCTTTCAGGACATGGAAACATTCTACCTAAAAGGTATTTGTGAACAATATACTGATTAATGAGCTCTGGAGCTTAAGACGCACTTTATATTGGCTTTACCAACCATGTGCATTTGGGGTGGGGATGTTTGTCCAAACAATGGAAGAAAGGGGGAGTCCGCTTGCAACAGCTCTATTGGCATAACCAACTGTATGCATTTGGATGCACACTCACTACAAGAAATCCTGCTTCTTATTTGCGAGTGACATTTTAATTAATGTCACGGAGCGAAGGCATTAATCTTATAAGCGTGCATGTGTTCGCAGGGAAAGTTTATTCGTCATGGACTGTGGGCATACAGCAGACATCCAAACTACCTGGGGGAGATCCTGCAATGGTCAGGGCTGTTTCTGTCCGCTTCCTCCGTCATGAGGGGACCTCAATACCTCAGCGCGGTTTCTCCGCTCTTCGTCTGGTTCTTACTGAGACACGTTAGTGGGATCCCCATCCTTGAGAAGCAAGCTATGAAGAAATGGGGATCAGACCCGGCTTTTCAGAACTACATCAAGAACACTCCCCTCCTATGGCCCTTCCCCAAGTTTAAAGGAGAATAAAGCATATTTACAGCACTTGCTCATGACAAATGAAAGCTTATGTGAATGTCTGATATACACACCAAAGTGAGAGCAAAACCTCAGTCCTAGATCAAGTTTCTTAGTTATAACAGTTTCAGTACACCTACTATCCTTTCTTCAAGAAATCCTCTAATACTTTTTCCATTGATTCAACTACCCAGTCTTAGTTGAATCAGTCTTAGTGATTTTTTTATGCATTTTAAATGTGAACATTTACATCCCACCACTTTTAACTCTAAACCCCAATGCAGTGTTGTTGTTTTTTCCAAAAATGGCACAATGGACTGGCAATAAATGAATGTATTTTACAAACAGTACAAGTCTTACAAAATGTCACACCACTCAAACTGAAAAGCAACTCGAATTGATAAATCAACTCCAATGTTTAACATAATAAACAGTTGCTCTTTGAAAACAATGAAAAACTGACAGATTAGCAATGCACACGACTACTGCTCCAGAAACAGTGTACCACTGAAAGAAATTATTGATTGCATACAGTGAAAAGCATCTAATCAGTCCAAGTCTTTATACTATTGGTACAATAGATGCTTCAAAATCAGTCAATTCTCCCAGAGGGCACCTTTTTTGCTTATACTTTAAATACGGTATACAATTAAATAAACTGCATATAGACAAATCAATGCCATTGAGGAATTCTGAAATAATTCTGGCCATGTTCGTTTATGAAAGCTGAAATGCCCACCACAACAACCAATAATGTTTTTGCATGCAAATAGCATTCAATTATCTTACTGTCCTGAATCCCTCTATAAACAACTCTCAGAGGGCACAATGCATTTTAAACAGCACAAATGGATAATTTAAACAAATTCAAAACATCATTTTAACACAAATGATGTATTTTACCTACTGGCTGTGAAATTTAAGCTGGACTATGTTTAAAAACACAGTTTACACTTTATAGAAAAATCTGTCACTACATCCTTGAACCCTCCAAGAGATTGAGATTTAAGGTAAAGCATAAAATTAGAATATACAAAGTTACAATCGCAGATTATGCTATACAAATCCGGCATAAAGCATGTAGCTGTACTAGATGCTACAATCAAGTTCAGGTTTCTTTATAAAGAACTCCCAAACTGATGCAGATTGTGTTATTCTATGAGGATTCGGTGACTGATGGAAGTGCCCATCGCTTTGGTTTTGAGGATGTTAATAGTACGTTAAAACATTTAAAAGTGACTAAAATACAAATGTTACAAGAAAACTAAAAAGAGGTAAGATAAAAAGAGTAGAGTTAAAATGGTTTGAATTGATGGACAAACCAGACATACGATACGCTAGTAGGACAATGTAATATATTGCAGCTGTTTCCCAAAGAAAAGAAAAACTCTTATCCATGAAGAGCTGAACTGCTTCAGGGCTACTTCAGGAGAGGCGAGGCGAAGAAGTTCCCCTGGCGAGAGACGCTGCCTGGAGCTCTGCTCCTGCTAGCAAACCTGAAAACAGAACGGATGTTCATAATGGCTAGCTTACAAATATTCATACTACTATAAAACCCACAAAGGTTCAAACATACTTTGGAGTGATTGCGTTGAGAGTTGCGTTCTTCATGCGTTGGGAGAGAGAGCTGGACGATGGGGTCTTGCTCATCTGCTGGTCAGGAGTCGTCACGGGCCCAAACATACTTGCTAGAGTACAAGGAGAGCATGTTGTTATAGAATATCACTATCAGACAGAGTTTTGTTAAATGTTTGGATGTGAAATTCATACTTTTATGATCAGGAGTTGCGTGGACATTGGCGTTCTCAATGATCATGTGATTGTGAGCTTGGTCGTTGTTGCCGATCATAAACTGACTCCAGTACTCCACAGGCAGACTGAGGAGACGCTCAACCACCTGAGAGAGAGAGAAAGAGAAAGAGCTTGATGAAAGACTGGTCCAAAACACATTTACAAACTGGACCCAATGGGGAAAAGAAGCCAACCTTTAGCCATGAGCACTTACTTTTGGCTGTCGTTTTGTGTCTTGCAGGATGGTCATTGGCTCTGGGTCGGGCACGGCATGACCCACAATTGTAGGTCCAAATACACGAGCCAGATTAGTGCCGTCCATCTTTGTATCCGTGCTCTGGGCCACTCTAATGATGAGAAATAATACCCAAGTTAAATATGAAGTCCCACAGCCTAAAAACGGCCTTCCGAGACAAGGGCTGGGTTTTAATTTCGTTTACAAGAAAGTGTTGCTCTAAATTAAACTGGATTGATAGCGGTACTTAGCGGAGGAAAATTAAACAAATTATAATAATAATAAAAAAAGATGTGTAATAGCTTTTTAATTTGGTGTAAATGGAGTGATTACATCAAAACCATACTATGACACTTTTATTGAACTGTAAATGGACTGCAAGGTAGCTCCATGTTACATTGTACGCAGTTACTGTTAAAAAACAGAGAAACTACAAAACATTTGGAAAGACATTTTAAAAAGCGTTTCCAGAATTGATACCATAATATCTGGTAACAATTTTGTAACCACAATAATACAAATGTTCAGATTAAACCATTTTTTTTGTCAACAGGATGCTAGATAGAGCATTTACAGCAGTAATGCAACACTAGGTCAGGAGTGTGACCATCACACTAAAAGCAAAGTTCAAGGTAATGCTTAAATACAGGCTTCATATTTCTGCTTTTACACCAGGGTAATTGCCCCCAAAATGCCCCAGTTTTTAACAAACTGATCAAATTGCTTTGAACGTGAAATATTCCTTTAAAGCTACAAATGTTAGTGTTAACTTTAATAATTAAATAGTATTTGCAAATGGTACAGGGAATATACCACACAGTAGAATCAGAAATTGTGTATGACGTTTAGGCTTACCTCTGCAAGTGAATGATGAGGAAGGCCAGAGTGTCTCTGTTGGGCTGAGGAAGATCACTGATGTTCTGATATATTAAGGCAATGCTGTTGTCATCATCAGACAGCTCTATGAGAACAGAGTGAATGGTTACTATTGAGGGTACTAGTCCCAAGTACACCACGGATCAACATTTTTGGGTCAGTGAGATAAGTAATTCATTCTATTATTCAGCAAGGACACATTCAATTGATCAAGTAGTTTTCATTTAAAATCTCTATATAAAGAAACAAATATTAAGCAGCACAACTGTGCCCATTTAAAATAAACGTTTTAGCAGCAAATCTGAATGATTTCTGAAGGATCATGTGACACTGAAGACTGGGGTAATGATGCTGAAAGTTCAGCTTAGCATCACAGGAATACACGTCACTTACTATTTAAAATAACTTCTTATTTTAATACTATTTCTTTCACAATGTTACTGTTTTTTTAATCAAATAAATGCCGTCTTGGTGAGCATGAGACTTTTAAAAAAATCGTACCGACTAGGGCTCAGTATCAATTCAGATGTCCCGATTAGATTTTGATTCACAAGATCTTAATTCGATTTCGATTCTCAATTGAATTAAATGAATACAATTTGCACTGGCCCCACCGCAAAAAGTCGTAATAACCGAATAAAATGGGCCTAGTTATTCTTTTTGATAATTATAAATAATAAAACTAAATACTAAAAGTACAAGCAAATGGCACAAATAAATAAATGGAATAGAACAAACACACAAATGAAATAACCAGTGCTTTTAAAGTTTTTCAGGTTTGTCTAGTTTTCCAGAAATAGAAATTGAACAAAGTAATAAAACGTAAAAACGCTGCATATAATCTTCACATCACAAATTAAATAAAGGTAAATATTCAATTAGGTAAATATTCAGTGAAGAAAATTATAAAGTGATTTTTTTTCTTTTGTATTTTGATTAACAAGACTAGATTGATGTAAAAAAAAAAATATATATATATATATTTTTTTTTTTTTGCAGAGCCCTCTTACTGACACTAAACTTTTGAACGGTAGTGTGTACATTCATACATCAACACTAACCAGCAGCATCCATGAAGGCACGGTTGAGGCGGAAGGTTAGCAGGGGTTCTTTTAGGCTCCTCAGGAAGTCCTTGAGGAGGCCTGTGATGACATGGATATCGTCCACCTTGCTGAGCAGGGGAACGGTTTTCCCACGATGGAACTTCTCTTTCAGGTCTTTGACCACTCGATCAGAGCCAGACACCCGGTAAAGACCAGTCTGCCAAAGAGATACACAGGTTTTCAGAACATATTGGTCTTGTTGTCCAGTTTTCTAGGACTGAATCCAGCATCTTTATCAGTTTACCTCACGTAGGCCTCTCTGCTCAATCTCATTAACGCAGTGCACCACTAGTGAAGGAATCATGGGAGAGGTGGAGGACACGTAGCTTGCAAGGGTGCCCTATCGAAAAATCACACCAGGTTGATATGTTTAATGGTTTAAAACTTGAAAGATCAGAATGGAAAAGAGGGAGAAAATTCAAGCTTTGTCACCTCTTCACTTTTAACAGGAGTCCCAGTCATGTTTGGAATGCAGGGCAGAGGGCAGCGCTCGCGGCATTCGGGGTGGGACACAACACGGCAATCCCTGCACTTTAGAGAGATCTTCCCAAATTTGATCCTCTTACCACATGGCACACAAGACTCTGGTTTGATCACCTAAAAAAAAACAAAAAGCCAGGTAGATATGAGCTGTAAGGACTATAAACACAGGCCACTGCTAACCTATCTAGACAACTTCACTGATTATAATAGGAAATTACATAGTTTTGTGTCAGTTTTAAATGGGGTGGTCATTTTAGATAAAATACAGCCAGGTGTTTCACTTTTTACTATGATAATGGCAAAAGACAAACGAACCAGACTTTGGGGGTCAAACATGCTCCAGCACAGTTCAGATCACCTTGTGTAGTGTACAACCTTAAGGTGATGGGCAACCAGGTGAGACACGGGGCCCACGACCGATCTAAAGTATCCAGATTCTCAATGGGAAAGCACCTAAGCAACATTGCTCAAAAAAGCAGCCCGTGTATCATCAACGTTAGTCACAATATAATGAAAGTTGTGATAGATCTTTTCTAAACATAGTAAAACCGATGGTCGTAAGAAAGACAGGAAAAATGTTGGGAGGGGTCTTGGTTCTATCCATTAGTTGTTGATTAGATGAGGGCAGAGCTGAATGCAAACTTGGAGTTGATTATAAAAGAGTTGGCACTTAAAAGGCCTGAACGAATGGAAAAGTCCAGCATACATAACTAGAGAGAAGTTGTTTCACTGGGAAGGTCTAGTTATCATTTTGATTAATTTACAAAGTCAAATTTAAAATGCATACATGGATGAATAATTTAAAATATGATCTAAAAAGTCAACAACCCTCTACGGTTGGGAGTCGGGACTCAAGAGCAATGAATCAAATACATCTTCGCATCTCAGAAAGATTTATATCCTACCGTTTTGGAGACAAACTCATGCAGACGGACACCTCCGTTGCCCTGGGGAGTGCTGGGCTCTGCCCTGCTCTCTCCATTGGGCTGACTGGGATGCTTGAACACATCCATAGACTGAACAGAGTCGGTGTCAGCAGTGTCCCACTCCTGAACAACTGAAGAACAAAAGCAGAGAGAAGCACTGCTAACTGCTGCAGAATACTTAAACAGAAACGCAAAGGCTTGGGGTGTGAGAAATGACCAGGAAAAAAGCCCATACAAAACAGACCTCATGAAAAAAAAAAACCCTAATAAATAAATAAGAGTACCAGGCTGAAGACTCAACAAGGGTCAATTTAAAACACCCCAGAGTCCTGCAAACCACATAATGAATTATTAAAAAAATTAATCTTTGACCCTGTTCAATAAAACAACGCATATTTATGATACAGCAACCACACATCATGACTCACTGCGGATCTTATTTATAATACAGCAGCCTGCACATTATTATTCAATCAATAGCAAGAATCATTTAATCAATGACTCATGCAAATATTCTCTTGCTCTTTACTTGCACTCTCACGAATGACAATAATAAATTTAGTGAAGCGAGCTTACCAGTCTTTCTGCGGCTCCTGGTCCAGTACGGAGCAGCCTCCACTGTGGTGACAGCCTCAATGGGTCCGCCATCAGCGGGCACCGTCACGGTGGTCTTAGCCACCAGAGACTCATTACCCTGATAAAAGAGAACTCAAATTAATTAATTGTCAAACAATTTCTAACTTGCTATTCACCTAAAATAGGGACAGTATAAACTGGACATTAACATCAACCCGGGAATAGCTTGTTGACTTGGCTTTTACAATGTTAAAAGAAGATAAAATCTTCCAAAAGTCAAACGTCAATGGGTTGTAGGGACTGAGGAGAACCGTAGAAACATTATACCTCTAATGACTAAAGCAAAGCCCAGCAGGGAGCTTTTATACTGAAGAGTCTTTCTCCAATATTAAACAGTCAGTCTTGTGCTTATGTAACCAGCTCTTACTTTCTCAGAGGTTCGGCCAGTGGAGCGGGACCTCTTGGCACCAGCAGGCGGGCCTTCTGTGTGGTTTCGGGAGGAGCGCTGCATTGAGACAGATTAAATGAGATATTGCTTGAAATTTGGACATGTTTGGATTAAATGTGAATTTATTTGGAAGCATACCCTCTTTTGTCGTTTCTTGAGACGAACTGTCCTGATTGCAGAAGAGTCCCAGTCCTTTATTTAAAGAAAAGGCCAATTAAATCAATAAAGGATGAGCCAGTCTAACAAAATTTCTTTCTCTGCGTCAAGTTTGAGACAGGAATACATATAAACTTAATCTTTTTAATATTCAGGAAAATGACATACCAAAGAATCATCAGTTTTATCATAGCTGATGTCAGACAAGATAGACGCTGATTCATCAATGGTGGTCAGTCTAGAAGAGACCAAATGAAGGTTACAGCAGTGAAAAACCATTCAAATCATAAAAACCGAACCAATTCTTCTGTCTTTTATGACATTTACTTAAATCCTTGAAGACACAGTACATTAAAAATGTTTTATAAATCCATTTTCAGTCACTCAAGCTGAAAAAACAATACTTTTTATGATTCAATTATATCCTGCCTGACAAATTTCTGTAATATCCAGCTTCAAATGATCTTATTTCAGGGTTCGTAAAGATATTGTAAAATTAAATTTCAGGGCTTTCAAGGACTTAAAGCACCGCTTTTCAAGGAGTATAATCAGAGATCTCACTTAATCAATATCTTTATTCTCTTTCCAATTCTAAGGGCCAGATGTACTAAACAGGGCAAATTATCGTGAGAGAGAGTGGGAGCCCTAAAAAAGGTACAGAAATACTCAACTCAACTCAACTCAACTTTATTTATAGAGCACTTTCAAGACCACAAGTGGAACCAAAGTGCTGTACAAAATGAATAAAATAGAAAGTAAAATAAAGAAATAAAAAACAATACAAACACATGACATAAAAAAAAAACCTTACAAAGGATTATCAAATGCTAAAGAAAACAAATAAGTTTTAAGCGCACTCTGAAAAACACCCAAAGAAGGACAAGATTTCACAGACAGGGGAAGATCATTCCAGAGCCTAGGAGCCGCAACAGAGAAGGCCCGATCACCTTTACCTTTCAAACGGGACCGCGGAACCATGAGAAGCAATTGATCATTTGAGCGCAGAGATCTACTGGATTGACAGCGGCTAATTAAGTCAGTAACATATTCAGGTGATTGGCCATTCAGAGACTTAAAAACATACAACAATGCTTTGTATTGAACTCTGTATCTTATGGGTAACCAGTGTAATTTAATTAAAACCGGAGTAATGTGCTCTCTCTTCTTAGTACCTGTTAAAAGTCTGGCAGCTGAGTTCTGAACGAGTTGCAGACGGGAGAGAGAGGCCTGACTCACACCCAAATACAAAACATTACAGTAATCCAAACGGGATGACACAAAAGCATGAACATGAAATAAATTTTTCTTTACTAATAGCTAAAACAAAAATGGTACAAATTAAGTGCAGCACATGCAAAGTATGCAATGACTGTGGCAACTTTCGAGCACTTTAAGCATATTGAACAAACCCAAGTATTTGTATAACAATTTACACATTGCTTCAAAGTAGCTTTACACAAATTCATGATGTTAAAGTTGCGATGGCACTGAAGTAGCGACAGATTATTTATTCCATATTGTGACATACAGCCGAATATAATGGATTATTGGGTCTTTTGTAGGACAGACTGTCAGTCCATCTGATTTCAGTGCATATCTGACTGAAATCTGATCAGGTTTAGCAAACACATGATATATGATTTCTGGAAAACTGCTTTGATTTGGACTTTTGCCAGGCACATAAAAGTAAGACATTGTTATAGAAAACAAGTCACTGACTGAAGAAACAAGGTTGTGTTGTTGCAAAGTGTCGGATGAGCAGAAAATGACAATATAACAGAGACAAGTTTTGAAACCAGCAGAGACAACAGCACGGAATAAAGCCAAGCATACCAGCATCCTATGTTTCTGGCGTGCCTCAAAGGACACAGTAGTAATAAATTTAGCAAATAGTGAGGGTTTATTTTCATTTAATGCTGACTTTAAAATGACACATAGAAATGACAGGGTTTAAGATTTAGGTTATACTGCTGATCCCGATCCAGTTTAACTGACATTGAAAGGCATGCCTCAATAAAAAAAAAGACCTAATACAATAATCACAAAAGTAATGAAAACTCAGAAAAGCATCATATCACAGAAGTAAAATGGGTAGCTTTTTCTCTTACCGTCGACTAGTGTTGAGGTTTGTGGGATTCTGGGAACGGGCATTTAGAAAGGCCAGAGCGGAGCGCTGCTCCTCATTTAACTGGATGCTGTTACTGGAGCCTTCGGTCACCAACAGCTCCCGGATGAGCTGGATCTGACGGTCCTGCGGAGGAATAAAAAGGAAAGTCTGGTTTGAGCCTAAATTCAGAGAACATGTCTACAGCGCAAGTACCATGCAAACAGAGGCCTACAAACCAGTTTTGCACAGTCAGCCTCAGCTTTCTGTCTCCGGCGGATCTCCACATCCACTTGGTTGCGGGCATGTTTGAGTTTGACCTCCAATGCTCCTCGCTCTGTCTCTGCCTTGGTGAGCACCTCCTTACATGCATTTAGCTCATGCTCGAGTCTCAGCCATTTACGACGACTGTCCTCAAAGTTCAGGGCCATCTGAATGAACTCTGACAATGAAACAAAGAATCTCAGTGAATATTTAGTGGGAGAGATTGAGACAGTGTACTACAGCATGCATTTTATTTCAAATATTCAACATAGCCAGTACTTACGGGGCTCAATGCTTTCATTGAGAATATCAGCTTGTGTCCGCAGGCTTTCAAAAACACTGTGAAGATTGATCACAGCAGTCTCCATGTCCTCCTGCATTGCAGAAAAAAAATATTTATATTGTGTGCACCAGTTCAGACAACTTGCAAGATTTAATTAAGAATGAATTGATATAAGATTATTGTTAATATCTCGAGATCACACATTCCACTGTTTGGACATCTGTGGCTTTTCGGCCATTCAAAATATTATAGGCGTGGCCAATTATGAATATTGATATTATGTATCTGCATAAGATACGTAATAATAGAATAAAAGAAGTAGTTTCAAATTCAATCTAAAACAGTTAAAGTCTATAAAGTGACAAAATAGCAATATAGCTGCTAACTATCTTTTAAAAATGTGTAAGTGTACTACTAGACTATAACAATATTATGAAACTTGTTTTTGCAAGGATTATGAAAGTGCAACCGTAAACAACGAGTCCAAACACGTTTAAATCACATTATCATGTTCAATGGTGAACAATAGAAGTAACAACTTGCCGTTAACGTTACAGTAAAACACTAGCATGTGTTTTCTAAGCGGCTCGTCATTAGTAACAAACAAACAATGGTTTGCCATGTAATAATATAACTTACGTACTGTTGTAGACGCCCAGCCTTGTGTGTAAACGATGTAACGTAAGATTATATGAACATATGTATGTTTTCCAGGGACAACAGCAGAGCACCGGTTTGTCCAACCAAGTTTACCCGGATGTGTTGTTAACGTTCGTCTAAAGGAGTTGCGTTTCAAATTTACCCGCCAGCCAATCATCGCCGTTCGGGCGTGCTGACGTAGGCGCGTTGACGCAGTACGTACATGCGGCGCGTCTGCTGTAAAACAGACTGTAAAAAAGGCTCTACCAGAGGCTGTAGTATGTTTGTTTGTTTGTTTGTTTTTTTTGTTTCTTTTGGTCATACATTTTGCCTTCTTTTACTGCCTGTGGCTATACCATATGGCTGTACCATGCTGTAGTAGCCTACTGTTGGTGTTGTGAAAATCAGGTCTGACCAAAACTATAATAATTTAAATATGGACATGCTGCAATTTCTTTCACTTGAGAAACTTTAATCATAATAATAAAATCCAATTATAAAACTGTTAACTTAAAATGCTGCATCTTCGCTGAGTAGGCTATCTTGTTTGGCTCTATTATTTAAACCTAGCAAAAATGTTTAATAATATCGGCTACAACAACAGAAGTAAATAACAAAACTAGATTTCAGAAAAATCAGTGTTGGTACAAGTATGAAATATGGGTGAATGACTTCACCGCCCAGGAGTAGCAATATGGTCTCTGTGGAAAAGTTCAGAGATTCAGCCAGTGTATAAAAGTTAAAATAGCCTAAATAATAGCCTAATTAAAAACAAAGTAAACTAACTAACTAAATACAATTAAAATAAACACAAATTATTAAATTGATAAACAACCAAATTTGTTTTAAATAAGTAAAAACAAACAAACAATGCAGTAACCATTATTCTAAATGGAAAAAGAACTGTAATGATGTTACAAAACTAAAATAATATTTTATACATATTTACAATATTAATCTCAACAGTGTAAATCGGCTCATTATATATACAAGCTGCCTTTTAATTTTTTAGGATGGGGGTGCTGGGATCATATTTTGGGGTCCATGGCATAAAATATTGAAAACCCCTGTCCTGGGCTGCTTTTCATGCTGGGAATTTAAGTAGGCCATAGATAAATTAATTACATAAATAAATTAATTAATATTTCCTTTCTGTTGATGCATACATATTTTATCATTTATGCCTATTCCCTATAAATAGTACGGCGACTCCATTTTTCCACCTGCTCTCTCTCCTTATTAATATGATGTAGCCTATGCATGCACCATCTATCTATCTATCTATCTATCTATCTATCTATCTATCTATCTATCTATCTATCTATCTATCTATCTATCTATCTATCTATCTATCTATCTATCTATCTATCTATCTATCTATCTATCTATCTATCTATCTATCTATCTATCTATCTATCTATCTATCTATCTATCTATCATCAGCTCACTGTTCAATGTTCATCAAGTGTGCAGTGTGACTGATCGCTCAAGTCGTAAAAGGGACTGAAGCCAGAAAAAGCAACGTGTTGTCTTGATTAATATCCTACTGTAACTGTGGAAGAGAGAGAGAGAGAGAGAGAGAGAGAGAGAGAGAGAGAGAGAGAGAGAGAGAGAGAGAGAGAGAGAGAGAGAGAGAGAGAGAGAGAGAAGGGACCAACTTTACACCATCATATCAAACAGATCCGCTAGTGGGGTGTGCAGTGCAACTTGCAGCAACACACCAACTCAAACAAGGCTTTCAAGTGCTGGAAGAGCAGTGAACTGCATCAGGAGATCGCTGCTGAATCCAGCAAACATGATTGCCACCACACAGCAGAACATGACAACAGAGCTGGTAAAGCTAAACAGCATGTTTTATCTTTTGCATGAACGGAGACTAAACGCAGGCTGACGATAAAATGCGTTTTCATGCTGTGTTTTTGTTGTATTTTTATTTTACACATCTGTGTGAACTAGAGCCGCAGCGAGGGAGCGCGTGCACGTGCAAGAGAATACAAATATGTGCACACGACCCTTTCATATCCTGTTTATAAACTGAATATAAGCGTGTTTCAACTCATTTATCCGTCAAAGTACATTAAACACATGCTTGTTCTGCACAGGCGTTGGTCACATTGATTCGACCCGGTTTTCATTCATACTTTCAGAGAAACTGTCTGTCCGTATCCCTCTGTCTGTTACGGTCCGTCATACCGGTTACTACTGCAGTGCTTTCCTGCGACTCATTGATTAATAGAAGTAACGTTAGGGATTTTTCGACAGATATCAGGCTGCCGTTTTAACTTCTACGTTAGATTTTAATATCTGAGTTCGAAATGTGTAGCGCAAACGAATCAGATAGACTTGAACTGGTGTAAATTCGCTGTGAAGATGGCAAGAGCTGCCTGGACGTACCTCAGAACCGCGATCTTTTTCAAGAAACTGAAATGAGACAAGTTATCAATCAAAGCCTACACAAACATCTAAATATGGTTCATCGAACATTATGTGCATACAGAAATTACTGGAATACTATGACAAAAACGTTTAAAAGTCATTTTTAATATTATTTGTAAGGTTTAAATTACATTTTTTTGCTATATGGCTGCGGTTGCAAATCACATTACAGCTAAAAATAGTAAGGAAATGGTAGTTTGGCAATATTACTAGGCTATATGCCTAGGCTATATATTAATTAAACATAAGCAGTGAAGCAAATATCTTGTCAAATATAATTTATTTTAACATAGTCCTGTCTTTTTATGAAATATTTTAAAAACTTAGTCTGCCAAAGTAAAGTGTTTGCAAAACGCCATTTTGTGTGTCTGAGAAAACATCAAAACAGAGATGACCTCTTTATTACTGTATGGGTTGTTTTGCATTGTTAAGCAAAATTAAGCACAAAATATCAAAGTTAGTATATGGCAAATATTGATATTTGCCTTATTTTAAAATCCAGAAGAATTCTTTGTTTTCCTTTGACTTTGGGGTGAAATATGAGCTTTTTTTCTTTATTTATTTATAAATGGATTTTACCATTAAATTTCCATTTCATGTATTGTACCGGGTTTAGCCAAAGGCTATTTTTCATCCATAGTCCCCCATTTGGAACTTGGAAATGTTCTTGACAGGTTTCACCCATATTAATATTATTGTCACATCCCCTTCAAATACAGATTTGTATCTCCTTGCCTAGTCAGTGTTTGCACAGTAATTCATGCTTAACTGATAAAGATGATCACCTTTGTTATCTAGCGAATGGCACATCTTTCTAAAATGTTTGTGTAAGAGCCTGGAAGGTTGTAAGTGTAAGAGAGTGTGAAGGAGCAGTGTTTCTCATCGATGGTTGCAGATGACTCATATCATGTATCTTTAACAAAAACATAAGACAACTTAATCTCCACCTCATTTGTATATCTTCTGCCTGGTGTCTTGACCATAAAAGCAACCTGGATGTGTAGAAAGATTGGCGGTAAACGGCCAGAGAACTGCTGACATGTCAGAAGTGTCACTGTGATAAAATGTTATGGTTGTTTATTTGTGTTTGAGAATAAAAAGGTGTAGAAAAACAACAACAGTAGGTGTACAACGACTGTCAATACTCTTATGCCAAATGCAAGTTAAGAGATGTCATATAACATGCAATGTGCAGTTTCTATATAAATCTATTATGTCTCCATAAAACATTTTATTACGGATCTAGAGTGAGTGGGACTGCGCATACTGCTCTGTTTCCAGCCGATAAGACACCCAGAGTAATTAGTTTCTTTTGCATTGTATTTCCCCCTTCACATCTGAAAACTAATATTCTGCACCATTCCTGTAACTACGGCACTGATGAAATTCAATGTGCAATTAGCAGGGCCGCACAATATATCAAAATTATCGAAATATTGCAACACACTAAAAAATGCTAAGTTGTTTCAATCCTGTTTAGATCGAATATGGAAAACATCGAGCGATCCTGAATCTTCCGCTCCTGAATCCTCTCTTCTGCTGCTTAAATGGACAAATCACACTACGCTCTTGTCTTATGTATTAAGTTGCTTATGTATTAAGTGAACGTAAACAGTTAAAAAAGAAAATGCGTGTGTAACAGTATTTTGGATCTGTGCAGCTCCTGACAGCAGCCTAATACCTGCTATAATAAAACAACAAAAGATAAACAAAGATTTTATAAGTGAAAGGATTTCAAACTTATTTACAAAAGTACTATTCAGGTTATTGAATTGGTCAAGTTCAAAATGACCTTGAGTACACTTTTAAAATGATGGTTTGTCATATAAATGATGAATGGCATGATTTTATAGACATGACAGGAAGGTTTGAGATGACTCTCCCCTCATGTCAGATCAACATATGCTTGCTGACCTAAGCAAGAAAAGATCTGTCTCATCCAGTGCACTGGAATGAGTATTACAGGCTACATTTTGCAATGTAGCTTGGAAATTAGTTATTTAGTCCCAAATAATTATAATATAATATAATATAATATAATAGTATGTTGTCAAAAAAGCTATCTTTAGCAACCAAATAGCAACACCCTTGGCAATTAACCTAGTATTGTGGTGGCAAAAGAAAAAGTTGTACAAATCTGGTCAGGGTTTTTATTTTTATTATTTTATTAATATATAAACTAAAACCAAAACCATAAAAAAAGTTTTAGTTACTTGAATAAAATGAATGTTAACTTAAATAAAATCAAATAAGCAAAAAACTAAGAGAAAATTTCTTATTTTCATTTAATTTAACTTACTTAATTACCATATTCCATGTATATATTTATATAGCCTATGGATAAACATACAAATGACTAAACCTTTAACAAAAATTAAAAACCGGAAAATTAAAAAATAAAATCTTTAATTCAAAATATTAATGAAAACCAATAATAGTATCTTAATGAAACTAAAATAACACTGAATCTAGTGCATCAAACAATACATATTAAAACATTATGTATAGCAAAATCCATTGATCCCTTTAGAAAGTGTTATCCATCAAAAAACCTATAATCCATTTTGAGATACGTGAGGAAATGATATTTAGAATTTTTTTTTCCTCTTAGATCATTGACACGAGGAACGTCTCCTGAGACAGTGAGCACTTTCTCATTTGCTTGAAATGTTAACGTGAATGATTC